CATTTTTTTAAAACAACACAAACTTGGCATATACTCACCTAAAGAAAAATGAAACTGAAAAGCAGAGAGTGAGATGTAATAAATGTTTTACATCACTGGTGATAAATCAGCCTTATGTATTATTCACTCCTGAAGACTGAAACTACTAAACCTTATCTCTCAAGCCTACAACAACACTGGCTCACACAACGTGCTCTTCCTGCAGAGACACCCCTAGGCTTTAGAAAGAATTTGTCTGGGGTTGCTCTAAAAGGTTTCCCCCTCTCTGCACTGCCTTTGAAGGCAGTCAGAGTAAGTGAGGTCTCTCTTGATGCATCCCCTGCCAGGGGATCCTGGATAGGCACTGCAGACAGGAGAGAGCTGTGAAGTTAAATAGCAAACTGCTCAGAGATTTTGAGAACTTGCTGGCTCCCTGATTTTGGTCAGTTTTAGGGGAAGGGAAAACCCCACCACCTGACAATGGAATAAACAACATCTTTTGCACCCACAGACATGTTCTTCCAAGAGATGAAAGTTCAGGGCACCATGCCTCACAACCAATTTGGGTCATTTTTAACAAATGCAGTTTGATGAGATATTATAATCTTGGTGTTATGCACAAAAAATTCTAAACTATAGCCATTGTTATAGTAGACATCCACAAATGAAAGGCTGGGGCTATTTTTCTCTTAACAGTTTCTATTTTCACAGTTGTGTGGTCATTTAAAATTGAAAGGAAAAAAAAAGTACCAAAACATTTGAAATCTTTAAACAATCTTTTTCATTTTATAAATGGAAAATGTCACCTGAAAATCACTGACCTTTTCTAATTTTTCAAAGTGTTCTCTGAGGAACTTCATGGGTCGGTCTGGCTTTGCTATACAGAGGTTTACAATGCATTCTTTTAGAATCTGTTGGATGTTGTGTTTCTGAACATAGAGTTCACATCCCTTCAGGCTCTCATCTTCTTCCACATTGCAGGAAGCAGCAGCAGCCATCTTCAGGCTTGTAAACAGAAAACACAACCTAGGTAAGAAAATGGTGCAAGGAAGAGATGAGAGACAGATCCCAAATCCTTTGTCAGAGAGATCTGAAGAGCAAAGACATTTTAATATTGCCTGTTGCCTATTGAGGACCTATTCAATTTGGACGTTTTAATGTTCTATGGCTGTATGTGGAAATGCTGAACTCTGTCATCTTTGTATCATCAACATCCCACCAAGTACACAAAGAGAATTTAAACTCCCAGATTGTGATCAATCTTTGAAAAAAAAAACCAAAACCAAAAACAACAAGCCAGTGAAATTAACCTACGAGGCAAGGAGTTTCAAAAGCACTATTAAATGACAGTGTAAAGCCTTGCTTTGCTCTCCCCGTGGGGACTTGTTCCTGTCACTAGAAGCCCAGCTTCTTGCTACAGAGATTTTTGGGCAATTTTAGCATCTCTCCCTTTCCCAGCCAGCGACCCTTGGCGACCCGGGGGAGGAGCGGGCAGAGCCCCCCGAAGGGAAGTGAGTTCCCCGAAGGGAAGTCTGATGAGCTGGGGGGAGAGCAGCCCCAAACCCTCTTTATCTCCCCCGGCGGGGTTATGACCGCTCCGTGACGAGCCCAGAACGCCGAGGCAGCTTTACCCCGGCCCCGGCCTCTGTGCCCGGCTCGGTGGGTGCGGGGGGCGGCCGGGGCAGCGCGGGGCAGAGCGGGGCAGTGCGGGGGGAGTGCGGGGAGTGAGGAGCAGCGCGGGGCTGTGCGGGGCAGTGCGGAGCAGTGCGGAGGGAGTGCGGGGAGTGCGGGGCTGTGCGGGGCTGTGCGGGGAGTGAGGACCAGTGCGGGGCTGTGCGAGGGACAGAGCGGTGCAGTGCGGGGCAGTGCGGGACAGTGCGGGGGGCAGGGCGGGGGGAGTGCGGGGCAGGCCCCGGGAGGCTCCGAGCGCTGGGGAAGTGCCCCGGGCCCGGCCGGGCGGATCTGCCGCCGCCGCCGCTGCCCCTGTCCCCTGTCTCTGCCCCTGTCCCTGTCCCTGCCCCTGTCCCTGCCCCTGTCCCCGGTCCCCGTCCCTGCTCTGCCGCACGGCTCCGCGCCCGGCCGGGCCCGGCGAACGGAGGCGCCGGTAAATACCTGGTGGCCGGAGCGGCGGCGCCTCCTCTGTGCTCGCCGGCGGTGCAGGCGGGGGAAGCGGCTCCCCTGCCGGTATCCGCACTGCAGCCGCCGCCGCCGCCTCCGCTCCTGCCCGCCCGCCGGGGCCGCGGGGCGCCGCGGGGACCCTCCTCCCGCTCCCGCACAAAGGCTCCGGCTCCGCCGCCGCTCGCCCGCAGGAAGTGCCGCCGCCGTCACTCCCCGGCGGGCGCGGCCTCCACCGCCGCCTCCGCCGAGAGGCGGCACGGAGCCCGCCGCTCCGAACGGGGCTGCACGGAGCCCGCCGCTCCGAGCAGAGAGGCACCGACCCCTCCGCTCCGAACCGGGCTGCACGGAGCCCGCCGCTCCGAACCGGGCGGCACCGACCCCTCCTCTTTAAACAGCTCCGCACCGACCCTCCGCTTCCACCCGCACGGGCCCCTGCGCTCCGATCCGCTCCGGGCGGCTCCGACCCCTCCACTTCGAATCGCACCGCATGGACCCGCTCTGCCCCGCACAGACCCGCTCTGCCCCGCACGGACCCGCTCTGCCCCGCACTACCCCGCACGGCCCTGCAGGTACGGCAGGACCTGGCCTGGCTGCTCCGCACCGCCAGCCCGAGGACAGGCAAGCGAAGGAACAGAGCCGAGCCACTCCCACTCTACCCCGCTCTGTCCCGCTCTACCCCGCACGGCCCTGCAGGGTACGGCAGGACCTGGCCTGGCTGCTCCGCACCGCCAGCCCGAGGACAGGCCAGCGAAGGAACAGAGCCGAGCCACGATGGACGATGGTCTGGCCGTGCAGAGCAGGCCTGGCCACGATGGACACTCGGCGGCCACACCATGGAGGATGGCATGGCCATGAAGGACACTAGCCTGGCTGTGACACAGGGGCACAGAGGACGAGCTGGCCATGGAACGTGTCCTGGCCATCGCGGATGATGAGCTGGCCGTGCAGGACAGGCTGCTAGGCCAAGGCAGGCACACAGGAGCTGCCAGCCCTGCTGGGCACCCACAGCTCGGGAAGGGCTGGGAAGGGCCGGGAAAGGGCTGGAAAAGCGCTGGGAAGGGCTGGGAAAGGACTGGGAAGAGCAGCTCACCAGCTCTGCCCCGGGGTTTTTAGAGCAAAGCCATCCCAGCCAGCAGCACTTCTGTGCAAGACCGTGAGGAGTGTGGTCACAGCTGGCATTCAGCATTGGGCTGTCAGGAATACTCCAATACATCTTTGTATTCCTTCTGTTGCCAGGAAATTCACATTCATGTTTCCCATAGAATAAAGGGTGAAACAGGATTCCAGAAGTTCACAGTCAAGCTAGGAGAAGCACAACAATAGAATAAACTTTGCTGGTAAACACAGGGCTATTTTAAAATAATTTGAATTAGTTCTGTGGTTTATTGCACTTTAGATTCGGTGTGATCCCTCAAGAAAAGGACCCTGAGAACCTTTTTGGTTTGAGGTCTGTTCCTTGCAGTCACCAGAGGAGAACAAAAAACATGAGGTTGTGCAAAGCACAACACAAACACAATGTATATACACATTAACTAATACAAATAAACACTAAAAAGCATACAGCGCTGTTACAGAAACTGACACCTTCCTGCTCCTGCTGTTTGATCCCTGCGGAGAAACAGCGGGGGAAGTGGCACATGTGAAAGTGGCCGGGCACGGAGCCCCCAGCGCTGTCCCCGTCAGCCCTGGCACCGCCTGCGGAGGGGCTGTCACCCTGCCCTGTCCCTGTCCCTGTCACCCTGCCCTGTCTCTGTCACCCTGCCCCGTCCCTGTCACCGTGCCCTGTCCCTGTCACCCTGCCCTGTCCCTGTCCCCTCGCTCTGTTCCTATCCCCTGTTCTGTTTTCCCCCGGCTCTATCCCTGTCACCCTCTCTGTCCCTCTGCCCCACACTGTCCCTGCTGTTCTGTTTTCCCCCGGCTCTGTCCCTGTCCCCCTCTCTGTCCCTGTCCCTCTCTGTCCCGCTCTCTATCCCTGTCCCTGTTCCTGTCCCGCTCTCTGTCCCTGTCTCTATCCCTGTCCCTATCCCTGTCCCTATTCCTGTCCCTATCCCTGTCCATGTCCTTGTCCCTCTCTCTGTCCCTGTCCCTATCCCTGTCCCCGTGTCTCTGTTCCTGTCTCTATCCCTATCTCTGTCTCTCTCCCTGTCCCTCTCTCTCCTTGTCCCCGTGGCCTTGTCCCTGTCCCTCTCTCTATCCCCAGCCCTGTCCCTCTCTCTATCCCTGTCCCTCTCCCTGTCCCGCTCTCTATCCCTGTTCCCGTCCCTGTCCCGCTCTCTCTGTCCCTCTCCCTGTCCCGGTCTCTCTCTCTATCCCTTTCCCTGTCCCTATCCCTGTGTCCCTATCCCTGTCCCTGTCCTTGTCCCTCTCTCTGTCCCTGTCCCTATCCCTGTGTCTCTGTTCCTGTCTCTATCCCTCTGTCCCTCTCCCTAATCCTCTCTCTCCTTGTCCCCGTGGCCCTGTCCCTGTCCCTCTCTCTGTCCCTGTCCCTCTCTCTATCCCTTTCCCTGTCCCTCTCTCTATCCCTGTCCCTCTCCCTGTCCCGCTCTCTATCCCTGTTCCCGTCCCTGTCCCGCTCTCTCTGTCCCTCTCCCTGTCCCGGTCTCTCTCTCTATCCCTTTCCCTGTCCCTCTCTCTATCCCTGTCCCTGTCCCTGTCCCTCTCTCTATCCCTTTCCCTGTCCCTCTCTCTATCCCCAGCCCTGTCCCTGTCCCTCTCCCTGTCCCTCTCTCTATCCCTTTCCCTGTCCCTGTCCCTCTCCCTCTCCCTGTCCCTCTCCCTCTCCCTGTCCCGGTCCCTCTCCCCGCGCTGTCCCAGCGCACTGCCGGTCACGGCCGTAAAGCGCGCTCCCGCCGTCGCAAACGCCCCGCGCGTCCCTGGCGACGCGGCCGCCCCGGTGCCGGGAACATGGCGGCGTCCGCGGCGGCGGCCGAGCTGTCGCAGGCGCTGGCCCGGCCCCTCAGCCTCCTCCAGCAGCCCGACTGCGGCCGGGCGGCGCGGCTGCGGGCGCTGGAGGACATCCGCGCCCAGCTGCAGGGCCGGCCGCTGCCGGGCGCGGTGCTGCAGGAGGTGTTCGCCGCGCGGCTGCTGCGGCCGCTGTCGCGCTGCCTGGCGGGGGACGCGGCGGAGCGGTGCCGGGAGCTCGCCCTGCAGCTGCTCCGCCACGGGCTGAGCCACGGCGAGCGGCCCTGCGAGGCGCTGCCCGTGCTGCTGCCGGCCCTGGCGCAGCGGCTGTGCCCGCCGCAGGGCGCGGAGCCCAGCGAGGAGCTGCGGCTCGGCCTGGTGCAGCTGCTGAGCCTGCTGCTGCAGCGCTGCGGCGCCGCCATGGCCCCCTACCTCGGCGACATCGCCCGCGTCCTCCAGGCCACCCTCCTCGACCACTATGCCGAGGTCAGGCGGGAGAGTTGCGGCTGTGCCGTGGCCTGCGCCAGGGCCACGCCAGGTGGGGCTGAGGGATGGGGGCAGAGGAGGGCGCGCTAGGAGGGGACGGGGATGCAGGCAGGGGAGAGATGAGGGGTGGCACACGCCCTCGCAGGGGTGCTCTGCGGGGTTTCGAGGGTCTTTCGGAGAAGAGCCGTGGCAGGAGTGCAGGCTGAGCTGTTGGGTGTGGGTAGTAGCAGCAGGAGGGGCTAGGAGAGGGTTTGTGGGCAGCGTTCAGCTCTGATACTGTATAAAGTTAAAGCTGCCTGCTACATAAACACAGCAACACTAGTCAGACTGCTGTTCATAGTGGTACAGAAATCGTGTTGCTCCAGCTCTGTCACCCACGTAGAGAAAGCAATAGAATTACTGAACAGCATTAAGCCCCCCCCCCCCCCCCCCCCCCCCCCCCCCCCCCCCCCCAAATGCATTATTCCATGCAAAATCATCTTGTACTGCTGGCCCCAACAACTGTTGGGTGTCATGGGTAAATCCATGCTACACAGAATTGGTTTGGGTTTGAAGGGACCTTAAAGATCATCTAGTTCCAACCCTCTGCCATGGACAGGGATCCTGCCCACGGTGGGAACTCACATGGTTGATGTTTTTGTCTTTCTGCCCTAACAGAGCACTTCCATATGCAATCAGAGTCTCTGATAAAACCCCTAATGCAGACAATTTCCCACCAACACTACAGAGTTCGTGTTGATGTGATTCAGGCTACTGGAGCAGTGATACAGTTTGGGAATGGAAAGTCTGTGGATGATGTCCTGTCCCATCTGGCCCAGAGGTTATTTGATGAGATTCCCAAGGTGTGCTTTTCTTCCTTCTTTTCTCTGCATTTATTTTAAATCTGTTTAAAACCCATCCCTATGGCGTGGGTTTCTTGGCGTTTCTGTCCCTGCTTCCCCCGTTTTCAGCTGTCTTGCATTCAGCTGAGATCTGTAAATACATCTATCATGGTTTAATCCCAGATGGGATTAAGGACCACGCAGCCCCTTGCTCACTCCCAGCTCGTGTCACCTGTCCTGGCATTGCTCCCTCAGCTGTTTGTGCAGCTCCTCACTAGCACAGCTTGAGACACCCAAAACTCCTTGACTTAGGGTAAACTCTGCTTAGCAACAAGTAAACATCAGTGTGTTATCAGCATTGTTCTCACACTACATCCAAAAAATAGCACCATGCCTTCTGCTAAGATGAACTCTGTCCCAGCTGAAGCCAGGACAATGTCCCACCCAGCCTGTATCAGTTGGAATCTGTCCCAAACCAATGCTGGTGACTGCTGTCCAGTTCAGCAGGGTGGCGAGAGTTTTGTTCTAATGGGTGCCTTCAATTCTGTCTTAAATTCTCTGCCACATCTCCCTGGCCCTTCATTCTCTGGCCTTTTCAGATGCTTAACAAACATAGTATGGGTCCCTTTATAAGGTGCAACTGAAGCAATAATTTTAAAATTAATCTTTCCTTTGTAGTGAACAGAGAAAATTTTCTTCTGGAGATGTGCTTGGAAAGCTACAAATTCCAGACAAATGTACATTTCTTAAATTCTCAGGAAGGAACTAACCACAAGAATTTAGTTTTCTGAGTTAGGTCTGTGTCTTGTTTTCCTCTCAAAGCTGTGCTTTTGTGCAGCAAAAACTCTAAAACTGACTAAGCCAGAGTGAAAAATGAGAGTGTGATTCCTTGTGTGTTCCTTAACATGCTTCCTGCAAGTGAGGAAATGCTGGGTTCTTGTAATTTCTTCTGAGTTATTGATGTGCTTCACCATGTCTTTTATACAATGACAAAATATTGTTTTTATTATTTTTCTGTTATTTTCCTGACACCTTTAAAATAGTTTTTTTGTCTCCCTGTAGGTACGGCACGCTGTAACAACTGTCATTGGAGAATGGTTGTTGCACCTACGAGACAGATACTCATATTTTCACAAGCTGATCCCTCTGTTACTTGGCAGCTTTACTGATGAAATTCCTGAAAATACGTATGTGGAACCTTTAGTCTTTATTTCCCCCCCTTAAATAGATGTCAAAGAAGTGTTCCTAAGTTCAGAAATGTCTTGCTTGGAGGACAAAACCCCCACTTCTGTTTGTTAGTTAGTTTGTTTTTTCTTAGATGGAAAATGTTAGCATTATCTTCAGTATCTTTTGTTATACTGTCCTTTCATGCTACGTTCAATTAAATGTGAGAGCAACAAAGACAGGGGTGGACAGAGACAGAATTATCCCTTAGGAGAGGAGGCCTCTGTCCTCTGACTACAGAAGAAATATAAAGTCTCAACTTAATGTGCCTAGGTTAAGTGGCTGGAATGTTTCCCATCCTTCCAGCTGAGTTCAAGTAGTCAGCTTTTCCAGAAGTCTCATTTTAAAGTGTTTTTCTTTGGGGTCATGGTGGTATAAAACTCTTTATTTTATATCTAGGAAACTGGCTTGCACCTACTGGGAAAAGATAGGCTTGCAATGGGAGAAAGAGAATGAAGAAGATTTGAAGGATAAGATGGATTTTAGTGTTTCACCATCTCATTATCCCAAAGGAGGTAAATGTTGTGCTGAAAGTGGTTTTTGCTTTGTGAATAATCTCCAAGAGCTGCAGAGCAGTACTCACAGCAGAGCAGGATGTGTAATATTCATTACAATATGTAATATTAATGTAGAGAGGTAGCACGTATAAAATATATATAAAATTATTTAAATTATTAAATTTAAATTTTAAAAAGTGATTTTTCAGTAACCTCATTCTTCTTTTTTTTTTTTTTTTGTTAATCCAAAAATTCATTTTGGAGAAAGTAAATGAGGCTGCCTATGCTGAGAAAAAGGTAAAGCAGTGGTGCAGAAACAGCAGTAAGTTCTACATCAACCAGCAGCCAGGTGCACAGTGGGCACAGACTGGAAAGAAAGGCAGGAGAAAAGCAGCCATGAGCTAAGTCCTTGAGAAATGAGTGCAGGTCACAGCATTAGTGATCCACATAATAGGTGCTGAAGAAAAATTTGCAATGAAATTATTTCAGACTTCTTGTGAAACACTGGGATGCTACCTAAAATCTGCCAGTGTACATGAAGAATGTGGGAACAGAGTAATTTCCTTTATTATAATATACAAAAGCCCCAATGCAGAATGGTAGTTTACTTTTTAGTACCATATGATTTATAGGTGGCTTTCAAACATTGTGTTTGCAGTAGCTTGAAGCTTGTTTCCTGTCTTGGGTTCACAAAGTTAATGTTTAAAAATATGCATATGGGAGCTGGGGGAAGAGAGAGTTTAACTGGCTCGTTTATTGATTTCTATACTCATATTTAACTGAACAAAAACTCGTTTGGTGTGAAAGAACAGGTTCATGCTTGACTTGTGCCTACATGACAATCACATCACAGAATACCCAGCAGCAAAATCCTTTCCATGACAGTGGGTTCCGGAGCTCTTTCTTCTTTGAATTACACTTCTTTTTTTTTTTTCTTTAAAGTTGTTTTACTCAGTAATGCTTGAATGAAAGGGGAAGCACTTCATAATGGTGACTGGTTTGACAGAACTGTTTAGCTTTGAAGGCAGGCAAGTTGATCTGTCATCCTTCCCAATCTTTTTTCTTTCCTCCTTATTTTCTGTATAATCTTACCTCAGGGGTTTGGAAATGCTAAAGAAGGCTTTTACTTCCACTAGTCATGGCAGAAACATATTTCTTCTCCTGGCAGTCAGAGAATCTTTTAACAGACACAAATTGATGAAGTTGAGTGTCTAAGCTCCAGTCACTAATTTTGCAATGACCATGATATAGTGAAGGTCATAAAAGGTTTAATTTCATTGTCTTGGAACAGTGATTACCATTTGTACAGCTGATGGGGTTACCTGGGTTAGTTTTGTCTAGGTGTGTGTTGGGGTTTGTGTGTATAAGCTGTTGTGGTTGGGCTTTTTAGAAAGTGACATCTACCAATTACTTCATAATTGAATGATATGTGATCTCCTAAATCATCTCCTTAGCACAATAAATATGCTTCATGAATTTGGGCAGCATTCCAGCCTCACATTAAATTGAATTTTCTTGCATTTTTCTTGGTAGAATGATGCAGTTAAGGCTTGAATGTGACATATATGTGTGTATTTTTATATATGTGCACGTACTAAAGAATATTTTAAAGAAATGGCCTGATAATTTTGGACTTGAGTCCCAAGTTAATGGTGACTTTTAGGTACCATTTCTTGCTGTTTATCTTTACTTCCAAGTTGTATATCTTATTAATAGTCAGGCTTGATGTGACAAATAGAAGAAAGTCAGAGGAAAGGATGATTGGCTGCTTAATCCTACAGACACAGAACTTTATCAGAGACACTAATATACCTTATGTGGTGTCCTACCACAGCCTGTGTATGGATGATTGTTACTATCTGTGTCCTTTCTGTTTGCTCTCCGTGAACATTTGATTGGTTTGTTTTATTGGGAGTGGGGTTTGTGTTGGGGTATTTTAGTATTTTGTTGCCGTTTCTTGTGACTTTAGTAGAATATTTTTTCTCCAACTGTGAGTCTGTAGTACATTTTATTTAAGTAGCTTTGTCCAGCTGTCAGACTAATGGACCTGCCACAGGAGCCCTGCTTTGATCTCCCAGTGACAGATCCTGCAGGTCAGAGGGGACCAGAGGGAGACCTGGTGTCATCCAGGCACTGCGCAGCTTGCACTGAGCCCCAGCACTCATTGCCTCAGGATACAGGTGCAGACAGTTTATAGCAGGGAAGTCTTTGACAGGAGTAGCTACAGGGATAAATGCCTGCATTTGAACATCTGAAATGAAGGAATTGCTGATAAAGAATGGTCCAAATTCTTCAAACAAAATTCTGCCTCAGGTTCAATAGGATGCCAGTCTGTATTTGCTGTCTCAAGTTGATTTCTTTATTTGACCTTTTGCTACTCATTGTCAGCTTTCATAATCCAGAGTGTTTCCTCCATTGACAAAAGAAGCAGCAATTCATATCCTGATGCTTGAATTTTATTTTTTTCCCTAGTTAGGTATTTCATAGGTATTTCTAAGCCTTTTGTATTCTCGGTTAGTCAGTTTCCCTTTTAGCATTTGTAGTTACACAGGCCAGTGCAGGAAAATATCTTGAGACAACTCAGTCATTTTCTTCCTGAGCATTTACAGAACTCTGCATCAGAAATAAAAAAGGCACTCACACATTCAGTGTATTTTGACACCTCATAATGAATGATGTCTCTTTCTTAAAACAGCATGTGAACATTGTGATTGGCAATTATGAAATCGTGCTTCTCAAAGAACAACTTTTCAGATTTTGTTTGTATAAACATATACAGTGTTAAGAAAAGAAAATAGACTGCAGAAAAAAAATCTCTAAAAAAGTTTTTTGCTGTTTTTTTTTTTTGGAAAGGGCTGTCACAGCTTTATCTGTAAAGTACAGAACAGGACATTTGTTAGATGTTTGTGATATTGGTCAAGATGCTCTTCTGAATCTCAGTGATTTATGAATTAACTAACAAGTAAATTTGATGATTACCAAAACAGTACAGTAGACATTTGTTGGGAAAGGTAAGTTTGTTGGTTATCCAGAAATCTGCATCCTTTGTTAAGGCAGGGAATATATTTTTGCAAAACTTTTGGGTTCTTTTTGAAATCAAAAGACAAATCAAACCACAAAAACTCACTTTCCACAAAGTCATTAAAGATTAAATTCAGTCTTAAGAAAAAAAAGAAAAAACCCAAAACATCCCCCCAACTTGTGTATCATAATTTTAAACATAGTATACCATTTTTGAAACACTGAAGTGGCACTTCAGTGGGCTGCTTCTCCTGGAAAGGCCTTAGCAAAGAGATGATATAATAGTTATGATTTTTAAAACACTATCAATTTGTTGGCCTGATCTATTACACAGCATCTGTACAAGCCATAGTTTGTGCCCTTTCTGCCTTCACTTTGCCAGACACACTTTTAACCTTTTCTTTTAGAGGGCACAATTGACATTGTCTGTTTTACTGCAGCTCATGTCTTCTGTACTGTTTGTGCCTTCTGCCTTTTTTCCTCCTCCAAATTATACTGAGCTCAGCGTTTGCATGCACAAGTCAGCCTTCTCTTTATCTATGTGTGTTTCAGTTTATTTTTCTTGGGATTTGTGTTGCTGTTAAAATTAAAAGTGAATTAGTAAGCTGTGTTTTCCAAAGTGGGTAAAGACACGCATTCATTTCAATTATCTTTCTCTTCTGCTTCCATAAACATTTTAAAACATGAAATCTAAATCACCGTCCAATAAAAAATACATAAATATTCAAAGAGGTATGTGGAATTTTAATTCTGCAATATTTAATTTTGCAATTTTAATTCTGCAATATATATTGCAAGGAAATGCAACCTTTTGCAGCTAAATTTCTCAGCAGCATTTGGAGTATTTTGTTCTATGCTGAAGCAGATGCTCTTACCTTGCAGCTTTTAAACTTTGCTGAGATTGTTATGCACTGGCTTTTCCTTTGATATTTCTTTTTGGGTTGTTTTTGTTTTTTCTAGAGACTCGACCAGGACTGGGTTGTCGGGAACTTGTGTCGAGAAACCTCTCCAAAATTCTCCCAGGTCTCTGTCATGATATCACAGACTGGCTTGGGAGCACAAGAATCAAAGCATCCCAGCTCCTGTACACATTATTGCTGCATGCAGAGGATCACATCACCCAGCACATGGAGCTACTGCTGAGAACTTTGTACCAGGCGTGCTCAGATGAGGAAAGTGAAGTGGTTAAAAATGTAAGTTTGATCTTTTAAAGTAGCTGTTGTACACTGAATAAAGACTTTATAGTCTTCAATCTGTCTTCTGAAGGTTGACTTTACCTTAGGTCACTGGGAATTGCCCGTGACTGAAGGATCAGGCTCAGGTTTATATGGATGTTAAAAACATGTGCACATTATACTTCTCTAATCTGTTAAAATAAATGTATTCCTCTATTACTGGTATGAAGACCAATAGTAAAGTTATTTAAATACTGTTTAGTTTGTATGCCAACCCCATGAAGCATTGATAGTAATCTCTCCAAAAATTATAAGCAGTGGATTAAAGTCTAAAAGCCTTGGGGCAACAAATTCAATGTAAAAAAATGTGCAGGTCATGCCCTTTCAAGTTAATTTCACTTACCTCCCCCTGCTTCATAATCCAACCATATATTGAGGTAAGTTTATTCCATGTGATACCCATATTCAGTGTTTGAATCTTTGACTTAATGCTTGGAAAATGTGGGGTTGGGTGGGGGGGGGGTTGTGAGGAATAATTAGTTTGATTTTTAGTAACAGTTGATTCTTTCAACACTTTGATCAACAAACCAGTAAAACAGATGCAGTTGAAGACATGAGATAAATTTAGCAAAAGAAAGACAGGTGGTAGAAATGCTTTTACAATTTGAAGATAAAATCTTCTGTTCCTGTTTCTACTCAAGGAAGAGAACATATGTATAACAAAAATATATCTACGTAACTTACTCTAAAGTTACAAATTTTATTGCTTTGGGAAGTTGGAAGAATGTGTTGTTCTTACTGGATGCAGATAGTCCAACCCTAAATCAGGCTCTTGTTTAGGTTCCTGCTCTCAGCTGGGCTAAAAAAAAAACATAAATAATTAGGACAATAAGGCCACGTAGCCCTGCATTCTGTCAAATTTCCTATCAAGTGCTTATTGCTATAAATCTAAATAAAAAATATGTGTTCAGCACATAGCTGTCCCTTACCTTTTATTGGCCATACTCGTCTCTTCCTTGGAATTCCACCACTAATCTTCTCATGGGTGCTTCCAAGAGATTTATTCCTGGTTAGGAGATGATTCCAGTATTTAATTGTGCTTTTCCTTGTGCAAACATAAGAGTCAGCAACTTTGGGTTTGGGATGCTTTTTATCTCTTAGTGATGCAGCTTCCTAGGGGACTGTGATAACCTCCTCTAGTTTGTCACTTTAGGAGCCCATTTCAGAGCAGCCACCAACTTGGAGAATGTCCATGTCTTTCTCCAGTAGTAATACCAAATGGGACCCTTTCTTTTTTTTCCTCTATTAAAGTGATTAAATCGATCAGTACAAATGTATGAAAACATGTTTTTGAACTCTTTAACTGTTTTGTCCAGTTTTCAGAGCATTAAGAGTCTTTTCCCTTCTCTGTGGCAAATATGGAGGAGAATGGAGTTCATATCTACACAGAGGATGCTACAACTCCTTTGAGTCCTATCTTTGTGAAAAGAAACAGCTCTATATAGTGCAGATTTGAACTGTAGAACTCATTACTATGTGCCTCTATTGAGACTAAAAGAACTAGCATGATTCAAGTATTAATTAGGTTCAATAAAAAAAAAAAAAGTCATAGCAAAGTCACTAGCTATAAATGACAGAGAAAGCTTTCATCTTTGGGGAAATGACCCAACTATTAAATCTGTGGGGCTGGAAGAAGTGTTCCTGTTGCACAGGTAGTGCTGTAGTAGTTGATTGTTTCTTTATTCATGCACATGATTGTAAACATTGGGCATCAGTCAGGCAGTAAGCCCTGGTGTGGTGGTATTTCATGTGGAATACAACATCCTGATACATCTGCAAGGCAGGAATGGGACCAAGGGATGCCACTGTCATGGGAAATACACAGTAATTTAAGCCTTTCAGTTAAAGAAGTAAGATGGAAAGCAGTGGGCAGTTCCCCCATGGCATTGCTTCCACACTTAACCTGATCTGTAATGTCAGCTTCACGGTACAGTACAATAACAAAAAATTCCTTCTTCCATTTTTTATAGTTACAGCTTTTAATAAAGAGGGTGATGAATTAAGGGCGAGCCTCAGGACAGCATTTGAGGGACAAAGTGCTAAACCACTAAATGTGCAACATCTGGTTGCTCTAAATTGGAAACTTTATTACAGTGAAGTTGTACACTTTGTTTCTGTGCATTGCTTTCTCATGGAAGTTTGTCTTATGTGGGGAAGGCTGCTTGCAATGTCTTATTATGTGCCTACTGAACATGTCAAGAAAATTTTTTCATGCATATAATCATTACTGAGCAAGTGGAAAAGGCCTACAAGGCAACTGCTGAAGCATTTAAAATAACAGCTGGAATCATAAAAAGAAAAGGGCCATGATATGTTGAATGGTCTTTGTGTTTTCAGGAAAATCCTCAAGTTATTCCTGTTCTTTTTTCAGAGTGTGAAAGCAGCAGAACTGATTGGAACGTTTGTCAGCCCTAAGGTGTCTTTGAAATTAATCACCCCAGCCTTTGAGCAGACACCCAAAGCCTCCTGTGTGATGGTTCTGGCTGCAGTGATTCGAGGTAGCCCAAAAGAAATCTTACAGCCTCATGTGGCCCAGCTTGGCAACACACTGTCACAGGCTGGAGTCTGTCAGAGATCTGAAGAGGTAAGGAAGGCTGCAAAACACACAGCAGGATACAGGCTTTGACCAAACTACCTTTACATTTATTCTCCCTAAATGCTCCCATTCCTGTCCCTCCCTTGCACACCTGTCTCAGGAAATAGTTGTGGACATGTGTCTGAGACAAAACAGGAGCTTCCCCATCCTTCTGGGCTATGTTCTGGGCAATCTGCTGCTTTCAAAGACTTACCAACAGTCCATCCTCTCAGCAGATGTAGGTTCAGGTAAAGAAATGCTGTAAAGGACTTCACATAGTGGTAAGAAAATGAAGAGGCAAGGCAGGGAGACAAGCAGCTGCTTAGTAAATACAGTACTCACAAAGGACTACCCTGGCTGGTCCTGAGGCAGAGTTTAACCCATGGTTTGAAATTCCTTGTGTTCACAATCAAAACAAGATCATGCACTTCAATCCTCATCAGTAAAAATGACTGAAAATCTTTTATAGTCTATTGTAATTGGCATGTCAGGTTTCCCAAGATTCCCTCTTAATGTCATCTGATTTTTGTTTTACATTCTTATTTTCCATTTCAAAAGGCAGGTACCAGCACTTTATGTGTATATTTAGGAGCATGTTTTGCAAACTTTTGGGCTTGGTTTCTTCTCTTTAAGTGAAAGTCTAGAAGGAAGATTTTTTTTTTTTTTTCAATTAGAAATTTACTTCCAAGTGTATCCTTAGGTAATAGCTGAACCCAAAGACCATTTTTATTTTAGCATTTGAAGAATATCCACCAATTGCTATATAAGGAGATGAGAGATTCTCTTAAACATGGAATGGATATTTTTTAACCTGCAGGAATTTTTGTTCCTTCCCATGTTCAAATGTAGAAATAGATCTGCTAGAGATGCACAAGAGGAATCCCTGTAGTTTTCGCCACAAATGAAATCCTGGCTTTCATTCCACCAGGAGTTTCTTAGACCTCTCCTGTTAAGATGACCAAAAAAGGGCCAGTGCTGTGCCTTGAGGAGCTCTGACTTCATGTCAGATGTAGGCTTCCCTTAAAACAGTTATTCATGTGTGCAGACTGAATCTGGCCTAATTGTCTTTTTGAGCCAATTGTAAGAAATACATTTCAAGTTCTTCCCTCATTAGGTTTCTTCCCTAATGGAATATGTACCAGTGATGCAGGAATTAACCTTAATCTCCATGAAGCCTGTGATGATTAGGAGCTCATATAAGTGGAAGCATTATAACCTGATTGTTCAAGTAACAATTCCCTGAGGTATAGCTGCAAAATTGCTGTGAGGTTTAGGCTTACCACTTCCATTTGGCATTGGCTCCAGGAGTCAGATCCATCTCTAACTGAAAGTTTGGCAGAATTGTTCTAGCCTTTAGTCTTGGAAAACAATCTCTCTCTCAGCAAATGCTGCACAGACACTGTTTAGCTAAGGATTGACCATGTCCATGAGATTAATAACACTTATGGCTAACCTATTCCTAGACTCAATTCATTTTTTGGGAGTAAATTTGTAACAATGGCTCCTTCTGTTCCCTGACAGCTTCATGGATATCTGATGCACTTTATCATAGAAGTCATGGCAAACTAACTGACAACAGTATTGATTTGAACTGGTATCAGTTGGATCAAGATAACATGAACTATATGGCATCAAATGAGATAAATTGGCTGAGATAAAAGCAAAGGCTCAGGGGTTTTTTTGGTTTATGTGTTTAGCTGTCATTGTTCATCCAAAACAGTCAAACATGGAATAATATTTCAAAGAGTTGTAACAAATATGTTATTAATTAACAAATTGCACTTGAGAAAGAGAAAGTACTATCAGCAAGCACTCCAAAATGCTTTGATGTTTTTATTCACCATTCACCAGTGGAACCATTGTGTGATTAAGAGCAGGGTCATTTATTTTGTTAACAGGACAAGGTAAACACAAACAAACAGTGTGGGAGGAAGATTATATTGTATTCTGTAAAAAGTAGAATATAGGTAATTAGAAGAACTAACATGAAATTACCAGTATGTTACCAATGTAAGGGATTATACAGTGCTCAGATTTAACTACTGTCATTTCCCATATCTCTCCTTTAAAGAAAACATTATATTTGCTAAGAAAACATAATAAATATGTGCTTTTATTAATAAATAGGTCTTTTATATGGAGCAGCTGCTTTATTGTGTACAAGCATTGACTGAAGTGTGCCAGGAAGACTGCAAAGAAATTAGCTTGCAGCTAATGAAAGTTTTGGTGACCATAATGGCAATACCATCTTCTCAGGACCTTAAAGAAAAGGTAAACTATGAGCTGGTTTAATATTTTGTTGTGTTCTTGTGTTTTCATATTGATAAGACACTTTGTGGAAACAGAGCCATAATTATTTGTGGGGAGTATTTGTGTCTAGTCTGAGATTGTGCATCTCTGACAGTACAGACTGTACATGGTTAGTACCAGAATTAAATCTGGAGCTGGGTTTACGGTTTGGGACAGCAGAGCCTAGAGAATTATGTTTCTTCATAACTTTGATTAAAAGCTCATAGAGTTAAAATATATTTTGTTTCCAGAAAAGGCCCTGGAATTCAATTTTATTTTGTGGTCAAAAGCATCAAGTATGGGTCTGTAGTTGCAGTTACAACTATAATTTTTTGTTTCTGGAAGAGTGTTTAGGTTAGGTTTCAGAATAGATGGCTTGAGGTGCATTACTGGAGCATGGGAATCTTGGAGCTGGATGGGAGCAGCCATGGGCCTAGTAGAGCACTTTTTTTTTGGTGGGGGTGTTAAACACCTGTCCACATTTAGGTAAAGTTTCAGAACAAGAAGTGTGCAAGATTTTATGTTTGTACTGGATCCTGTAAAGCCTTGGGCATGCTGGTGGTGCTGGTTGAACTGTTGGTGTTTACCTTTTAGTGGATATAAGTCACTGGGAATGTTTGGTTATATGCAGGAAAAAACTGACATTTATTTTCTGACTGTTAAAGAACAATTCACTTAGAGGTCAAGAGTACTACTGGCCTTAAAAATGTGATGGTTTCAGGGTGATTTTTTCATCTTTAGCCAAATATCAGACTGATTTTACAGTAGTTGACCTTTTTACCTCCCCACAAGAAACAAAAGTTTGAATGTCACAGGAATGCTTTAAAATCAAGGACAGCTGTACATGCCCAGATAATAGATGAGCTTTTTGGCTCAGCATTATCTCACCCCCTTATTTTTCTCTTCCTCTTTCTTCCCCAAGCTAAATATCATATAAATCAGTGAGCCATCCTCATGCAGTACAATTATGACCCATCCCAGTTGTCTTTTTTCAAACACACACCTTAAGTGCAGTGGCTATTCTACTTCCTTTGCTCTTGCTCCCAGGCATGGTATTCCAGAGGCCTGTGTAGGATCAGTATTTATGGCCCCAGAGCTGACAGGCTGCCTCCGAGGAGGCGTTTGCTCTGAGAGCTCTTGGGAAAGAAATAAAGTGGAACAAAGCTTGAAACAAGTACTGAAAAGACTTTGCAGGTCAAAGAGGGGTGGGATGATGATCTGTCTTATGGGAGTGGGATCTGGGGGGGTTTGGAGGTTTTGTTTGTTTGCTTGGGGTTTTTTTTTTAGACAAAAAAATGGGTCCGGGTAAGCCTTAGACAGATGATTCTGGAATGTTTTGTGGTATCTTGCCTGTTTATCCCTGCAGTGGTCTATAAAGTCAGCAATGTCCATTTAAAACCTTACAACTTCATACTCCTATGAAGAAAGCAGTTTCATGGAGATAAATCCTGATTTTCATAAATGGAAAAACTTAATCTCCTGAGATTATTAAAGGTTTAAGATGTTCCTGCAGTTCCAGATGATTTTTTAAGTTGACAGTACTTTGGATGAGAATCCTTTTTCTCATTAGCCTTTCTTTCAGTTAGACACATACAAAATCTGGCAGTGAGATTACATAAGAGCAATATTTCAAAATTGTCAAAAAGACAAATATGGCTTGAATTTTATTTTTTTTTCTCCAGTTACTGATTATTCCAAAACTTCAAAGTGAGCTGTACAGCTTGGAGAAGGAAAGAAGTCCCTGTTAAAATAGCTTAGGAACATGTAGAACAAAAGTATCACAATTGCTGTATGAATATGAGTTTTTAGTTCAGAAAAGAAAGATGTATTCAGACTCAAAAAATTTTGAGTATAAACATAAATTATTCAAAAATTTGCATTATAAAACTTTAATTCAGGCTTTGTTATAATGGGACAGAAGACCACTTAGATAGTGGAGACCACAACTGCTGTGACCTGGTGGTGAGCACTCAGGTCTGGCCTGATTTTTGGCTTTGTGTCCATCGTGTTTGTGGTTGCTTGGGGCTGAGGGAATGGACCAAGACCCCCAGCTGAGCCCAGCAGAGGCACAAGGAGCAGGGTGGGCCACAGCCCCAAAGAGACTGGAGCTGTATCAACTGATGGAGCCTGATTTGAGCTTGTCAGGGGTTTAACTGGTGACCTAAAAATAAGGTTTTGTTTCATTACCAGTGCCCTGTGCTATCCTGGCTCTTCTTTCAGCACACTGATTATTAGCAGGAAAATATTGTGTCATTAAACTTGTTAGCTTTCAAATAGAGGAAAGAAAATCACCTTTATTTTTATTTAACTGTGAGACACTGCTTAATGAGAAAATATGCATCAGCCTGCTGGCATATTTAATTTATTCTCTCTTTTTTTGTTTTTAATTGCATTCTTGAAACCACAGAATTTACTTTAAATCATATGTGAATAATGTATTATTTTGTATCTCTTGTTCAATAGAAAACAATCTTGTGTGTTATGTGTTATGGTGGGATTAAAAATGAGGAATTGTTTCTGTCCTGACACATCCTGTTTAATGTTACAATTAATTTACAAGTAAATTATATGTAAAATATTCATTTATCTGAGTTGTTTTGGCTGTCTGGCAGAATGCTTCAATAAAGGAGAAATCTATTGTGCTTGAGGCAGACAAACCTGCTTTAAGAGTAACCTTTGTCCTTAGCAAATCCTGATTTATTTATTTTTTGCTTCAAATTCTCATTTATTTTCTCCACATCTGGTACCTCCATAAAAACATCTTTGTCTGGCGAGTGATTAGTCTGGAAGAGTCTGAAAGTCCTAGACATGTTTGAGCTAACTTGTGTGGTTGAGTTCAGCTTAAAAATATTAAAAATATGAGTACAATTTGTAGTTGTACTGCAGCACTTGGAGTCCAATGATGTCACTCCCAGCACTGCACTCCATCTTTCCCTGCTGGAACTGGCCCTGCTGGCAGCACATGTTATTCCTTACTGAGGTTCCCAACGGTGCCTTGCTCCCCATTCTTGATTCACAGTCTGCTGAAATCACCAAGGCTACAGATCCTGCTTCCAGCATGCTTTTTATCTCTTCCTTGGAGAAGTTTTATACTTCTGGTAGGAGCCTTCAGGAACTGTAAAAGCAAATTTTCATTTGCTTTGAAACACATCTGCTGCAAGTGATTAGGAAGATCTATTGGCATCCTTGCCAAGCATGCTCATGTCTGGAATTCATTTAGTAGTTCTTACATGTTTCATTTGTACATGTTTTATTGGCATGTCTCATAGGATAGTCTTAACTCTAAACATGAAGAAGGTATTTGTGATGGAACAGTGAGTTTTGGTACTTCTAAGCAACAGAAGTTGAGAATTTCAAAATGAGCCTGCCCAGCTACTACAAAGAGAGGGCATCTTTCATAATTAAATCTGGAGGGAGAAAGGGAAGAGGGGAAATGCCATGTTTTCTCTTACCTGCAACAGCAATACTTTCTGGAAGCTACCGTGGCTTGGGATTGTGAGAAATTCCCCCTATCTTTATGTTGTAAAGTATTCTTAAATTAAGGAGAAAAATCACTACATCTTTAAAACCACTAATAGCCTTTTTTATGATGTGGTTAGTTTTTGGATAGGTCTGCACATGGGTTAGAGACTCTCATTTTGCTGTTAGGTTGTTGTGTTCCTGATGATTTCATTTTAAAATCAGGACAAATGTTTCACTTCAAATAAAAGTTAATGGATGTAGTATAGACAGACATTAAATATCAGCCTTGATTGTTTAATAGAAACTATGAAAATCTTCCCATGTCCCTTTTTTCCTTACAGAATGAGTTTTAAACGTTTGGGGTTTTATTTTAATGGTTTCAGTTAAGTATCCTGTCTCTGTTCTAACAGGTGGAGAAAACAATGTCCTCCTTAGCTGCAGTGCAGCAACTGGAAAGTTTTCACTGTCTCTACAAGCAGCACATCATTGAGCTGCTGGAGTGGCTTGCAGTGTCGTGTGAAGGGTGGAGCTGCTATTCCCCAGAGGTGTTGCAGTTTGAGGTCATCTCAACCCATTCAGGTACAACTTATTTAGTTCTAAAAAAGATCCAGTCAGGATCTCCACAGCCTGCAGGCAGCTTGTGTTTTGTAATGAACAGTGTAACATTCAGAACCTTACAAGAACATGGTGGAAAGTAAAAGAAATGTTGAAGCAGCTCATATTCCCAAAGATTCTGTGGCTGCAGGGAGAATGCTAAAAGCACTTAAGGAAAATGCACTTCCAGGTGAATGAAATAGGTGAGGATTAAGGGGAGACAAATTGATGTAGCTTGTGTCCAAAAATCCATCTTTTTATTCCATCTATTCACTGGTCTTTCAGAGGACACCATCTCTCTCTAACAAACAGTTCCTCACTGTTGCTGTCCAGCACGTGGCTGTGCAGAGGTCAGTGACACATTCTGGTGTGCATCTCACACTCCTTCAGTCCTGCTCAGTGAGCACTCCTCTGCCACAGTCCCCAGCTGGCATCTGCAGCAAGGGACATGGTGACAGGCAGTGATTTCCACCTAGACACCCATTTTAAGATTATTAAAATGAAAAGAAGTGTTTATTTATTTTTTCCTTTCTGTTGGTTGTAACGGGGATGGGGACAGTCACTTCATGAAGTATCACTGTGGCTATTGCACAGGTATATTTTAAAGGAATGTGTCTTCTGCATTTATTCTTTCAATCTCAAAGAAACCCTCATCAAACCTGTGTGAATCCCACTTATTGGTTTGTGCAGCAACCAGCATAAGTACCTCTTTTGGTTTTCATCTGTGGAAAGAACAAAAAGTTTCTTCAGTGTGAGATTTGAGAGGCCAACTTTTCTGTATATTTGTGCTCCCATTTCCATGACTGAGGGACTTCTAGACAGTTGTCTCTGTTTTCCTTAATGCTAAATAAATCATCAAATGTCTGGGCAAACATTTTGGCTTGCACCCAATACTGGTAATATGCTATTGTCTGTGTTTTCTGTCTGACACAACAGCTCCTAGAGCTATTTTTTTTCCTTTCTTTTCATTCCCACACATAATGTTGTTTTTAATCAATTTAATCAGCTTTACTCAATTCATATTTTGAGGTTTTTACTGTTTTTCAGGAGCATATGCTTAAGCTGAAATTAACAATGTAGTTTATTTTGTTTATTTTCCATCTGTTGAATTTGCTGTTATCAGTTTGATATAGTAGTAGTATCTTGTGAATGTCTCAGAACTCACATGAAGCAATGTATCTTGAATAAATGCTGTGAAAATAAAGAGCTATTTGTTGGCACAGACATTTAGCAAACTGCAGTTCAACACCCTGTATTGCTTCAGTCTAGACAGTGAAATTTGGGGTTTTTTCATTATTATTTTAAACATTAAATTTCCAGATATTATTAAATGCTATTGAGCTTGTTTTGGAATCTTGAATACTTCAATCTGTCCATCCCATGTGTGAGGAGTATTCTTGTCATCATGAATACCAGTGTTGTGTCTCCTTTGAAGGATTTTCTGAGTTAGTGGAGTTGGATGGAATGTGCATCTTAAGGATGCAAAACTGAAGAAGTTCCTAAAGGAAAGTAGTTTATTGCAAAAATGGAGCAGAAAGAGCATTCTGCAGCAAGAAGCTTGCAGAATAAAGTGTGTGTACAGTCTTTATGGACTCTTCCTCTTTAAAAGCAGGCAGATGTTAGTCATTATCAAGGAGAAAGGCACAAATGTCCCTCAGTTGTGGGAAAATAACTTCTTAAAATGTTGGGATAACAGCTTAGAATTTTGTTTGTTTGTTTATTGTTTAAATTTATCACAGGATGTGAAAATATTAACAAACTAAAGAGTTAATTTGGAAGATATTTTTATTTCAAGTAGCTTCTAAAATACATCATATTTTGGATTGTCTTGTAAGATGAAAATAAGCATTATTTAAAGAGGGAAAAGGAATGCTGCTGCAGTAATTGTATTATCCAAGTTTTGAAGCTGATCCTTTCCTATGCCTCTGGGAGTCATGAACATCTCAAATGCTGCATGTGGAAAACTTGAAAGAAGAAAAAAGTGTAGTTAATGCTGCTGTGTCCAGAGGTGTGAGGGTCATGCCAGATCCAGTGTAGTTTTTCATTAAGTTTAAGAAAACAAAGCTTTGTGCATAGCCTCAGACTTGCAGAGTTACAAGGGAGCAGCATTCATCCTCCAGCCAAAAAGTCCCCTGGTACTGATGGTCCCAGCAGCTCTGGGGTGTCATGGATAGATCCATTCCAGAGTCATGAAATGATGGTTGGGTTGGAAGGAGCCTTAAAGACCTTCAAGTTTCAACTCCCTGCCATGGGCAGGAGCACCTTCCACTTTCCAGGTTGCTCTGAGCTCCATCCAACATGGCTTTGGACACTTCCAGGGATGGGGCAAATGTGGTACAGCTATGCCAGGCTGACTAAATGAGACATGGGGAGCTGATCTTCAGGTGCTCTGGCCAAAACTGGGGGTACCTGCACCCGTGGGGAGTTAGCCTGGGGATTTCTGCACCACCCAATACAGTGTCACATGGATCCCTCAACAGCTGCCATGCAACACTGGGAGGCTAAGGACTATTTTAACACCACTTGTATTAGAAATTTTAATGCACCTACATATGAAACATCTAAATAGAACTTAGTATTCTGAAAAAAGCCTTCTGTGTTTGTTTGCTAGGTGCTGTCATAGGTGAAGCTCTGGATGACTTTGTTCTGGTTCTGAGGACGTGTCTCCAGCCAGACAGAGATCCCCAGATGCGGTTAAAGCTCTTCACTGTTCTATCCCAGTTGTTGCAGAAAGCAAGTGAAACCATCAATTCTCAGGGGTAAGTGGAGCTCTGATTTCACACAGCTATTTGAAAACTCCATTGGCACTATGAAATAATGACCTTGGGAGTTATTTAACCCTATAACCATCTCCATGTGAGCATGGCTGGAAGAAAGACTTTCCCACCATCTTCTACAGGCTATTTTTCTTGCTGTAATTTTTAACAATGATTAGGAGGGTAGAGTGCAGTAATTAAATATATATATATATAAATAAATGGAAGTCTTGGCTTCCTCCACTGTAGTCTTCCTACCTGTGCCATTACTGGGAATTAAAAGGAATGTCATGCAGATCTGGATAGTTTTCAAAAAGCAAATGAAGAGCTGTGGTTGAAAAGAATACTTTTTGAAAGCTAAAAGGGAGATTCTTAGGAAAAGAGTTGGGGGCTGTGGGTGTAACTTGTTTAAATACTGTAAAAACTGTAGTCACTTACTTGTTTAAATAATCATGTAACTGAGTGATAGTTACAAGATTAATCTAGATATTCTACAGTCCAGAAAAAAAAGAAAAGCACTTTGAAAACTGTTTGAAGTGTTCCAGGATCTGACTATTTATTTTAAACCAGTTTGTATCATCTAACTGGGAATGCAAAGCCCTTGGAACCAAGAAACCCAACCCAATGAGCTGCCAGCTTCATTAATATCCTCAGGAAAGGGAAATTATCATTGTGCAAAAAACAGAGGAATGTTTCAAAGTAATTCAGTGAGTATGGCCACACAGCACCGCAGCTCTGCAGACAGCAGTGATGGAAGTTGTTTTGCTCAGGGCAGTGTGAGTGAATGGCCTTTGTCAGGATGAGATACATCCAGGGAAGGTCACAGACCTGTTTGCATGAAGGATGGTCCAGTCCAGCTCTCAATGAGGCTCTGTCCTCTGACAACAAAAGCAAAGCCATGAATTTTAGCAGTAGGTTTATCTTCAAGACTAAAAATCAGTGGAAGCAGCTAAATGCCGCTGAAGTTTTGATCCTGCTTACCATGGATGTTTTCAAGTAGGAGGTAACATGGAGTTTTTGTGTTTGAAGCATTGTTTGCAAAACATTTCTGGTAGTTTTGATTTGTAAAAGCCGATCCAATTTTGTTTCAAATTACCTGGGTTTAGGATGTTAAATTTAAAAAAAAGAAGCAACAAAAGCATACACAGAAAACCCCAAGACATATAAAGCAAAGTGCAGCAGTTCCTAAAAGCAGAAAAGGAACCAGTGCCAAACAAAAATGTATAAAAAATAATTAACATGGAATGAAAGTTTAAGTATGCAAGTTCATAAAACCAATTTTAATGGAAACCAAAGTTCTGCTTTGTAACATCTGCATAAGAGCAGGGTATTAATGTCTCTGCAGGTCACATTTTAGTGCTCTTGCATCCAGCTGAGAATGAAGTATCAACTCTGTAAGTACAAACAGCACAGACAGGGTATGTCCTTTCCTGGAAATTGCTGACTTTTTGAATTAAGTTACACAGATCTACTGCAATAAGATCTGAAAATGGAAAGAGGGAGAGTTTAATTGCATCAGCAACAGCAAAAATAAAATGTTAATGGTTATGAGAGATAGTGTTGGGGAACAGTAGTAAGTTCCAGTTGCACTCTCACATTCACTGCTATCAGTAATTTGTTTAGCTCCTTGAAATGTTTCTCAGAGTTTGGATAGGAAGGCTTTTGGTTATTATGCTAAACACAGTTGTGTGGTCACCTACTTGTATTTGAGTCTGACATGACTTGAGTCAGATAATTGCCAGATATTGCTTTCCTGATTCTGTTTCAAGGCACTAGAACAAACATTCTCACAAATAGCACAGCACCATGGTTAACATAATGCTGATGGAATTTACCTTTGTGTTTTAACAGATTGTTTTCTCACTGCAGTTTAACAGAAGGTTTTATTAAAAACAGAAGCAGCTACTGGTCAGATAGCACAAACAGCACAGAGCTGCTTTTAGCTTTGGAGCTGAAAGGAGATTTGGAATTATGGTGATCATTAGTTTTATTTTTTTCCAACAACTTTTTTAACAGGAAATTATTAGTGCTTAAAAATGTGTTTAAAATACTGCATCGAAAGGGTTTTACAGATTTAGATGTGTCTAATGGGATGTCAGATTTCTTGTTATTACTTAAGTGCCATCTGCTGACAAGAAGCAGCAGTGGATGGATCTCTGACTTCTTCAGAGGCCAAGGGCTCCCTTGCCAAGGGGAAGCAGCAGCCAGGTGTATCTATTTCCAAAATGTTGCAGGTATGTGTCAGCACATAACTGAGGCCTGGCAGTGCAGCTGCTTGTGCTTTAGTCAGGTAATACCTGGATAACATAACCTGCAGCATGGATTCTTTTTAAAGCACTCCCTGGTAATTGTTAGTTGTTAACATGGACCTGTTATGTTCCTCCTGTGTCTTGGCACATCACTAAAGGGGCCACTCATTCACCCTGGCAGTGCAGGACTCTCAGAAAAGTCAACAAGAGCTTGTTCCCTTTGTATCAAGCAGCAGGGTGGGGATTGCTGTTTGGCTCTCAGGGGCTGCACTTTGAACAGAGCTCTGAGCTCAGTGGGACAGTCAGGGTAAGTTCAGTCTGTTTGCACACTGCCAGCTGCTCTGTAGGGCACAGGCACAGTGGATAACCTGGGCCTCAGTTACCAGCCTCAGCCAGACACTAATGTCTCTTTGATGCAGCAAAATATTAATTAACTTGTAAGATCTGTATTTTTTTTCCTCTTAATTTGAGCTGTAACTAAATGAGTGTGAGGGAATCCTGCCTGTTGTAATTGCTGACTTTTACAACAACTTTTAGCATTATAACAACCTATTGAATGGAGGAGGAGGAAAAAGCATCCAAAAACATCACAGATTTATGTGTTTGTAATAAGAACCCGTAGTATGGGGACTGGCACCATCAGAAAATCCTACAGACTTCTCATCTTTGGGGGAGACAAGTTTCTGAGCCAAGAGAGAGCTGAAATATTCTGTGTATGCTCCCAGCTGTATCAGTGTCATCAATAGCATTCATACTTTTCACATTATAAATACTTTTCACTGGCCTCTCAAAGGGCCTCACAGATGTTAATGAATCTCAGAGCATTGCACAGGGTGTTATCTCCACTGCACAGACAGGGAAGGTGGGACACAGAGAAGGTAAGTAGTTTACCAAGATAACACCGAGTCATGGTCACTGCCTGAAGTGGGAGAAAGTCTAGCCTCTCCTTTCTATGAATGTTAGGTATTTGTTTAAACATTATCTAGAAAAATTACGTTGTGAAAAGCTTATCACATACATTACAATAACATTGCCTTAGAAGATGTTATTTATTTTTACAGAGTCTTTTTTTCCCTTTTCTGCCTATGTTTCTATGACAGAAAATTCTCTTTTACATCCTGTCAGTCTCTTTATCACTTTCTCATGAACCTTTATTTTGCTTTCTTATTTTTGGCTTCAGGCTGTTCCCTAGCTACCTTGAGACTGTGATAAAAGACATCCTGGCTCCTAATCTGCAGTGGCATGCTGGAAGAACAGCAGCTGCCATCCGTGCTACAGCTGTATTGTGCCTTTGGGCTCTCATCCACTGTGAAATGCTTTCACCAAAAGAGGTAAATTCTCTCTTTCTCACCCTTTGAAATCTTAGGCAGGAAAACAAAATAAATGTAAGGTGGGAAAAAAAGAATAAATCGTTAGGGTAAGTAATATTTTCAGAAAGACATACAGTCTTCATAATAAAATTAGTTAATTGTAATTGAATGATAATGACTGAAACAATCACTAGTGGAGGGATGATGACATCCTGAGAAGAGATCTGAGGCCAGCAAAATGCTCAGGTGTAAGATTGAGTGGCAGCAAATTTTGTAGATATTTTTTTCTAACAGATGATCAGTTCTGCAGCCCGAGGTACTGACCACTGTGAACACAACACTCTGGGTGCTGGACATTGCTGGACCCCCAGGCAGAGCCTGTGCAGCAGCACTGGAGCCAGCCAGGACGTGCTGTGCTGTCATGTGGCAAAGACAAGTTGTCTGGTTGCCTTGGAGCCCACAGGTCCATTTAGAGAAAATAAAAAACCATCAAAAGATTCTGAGAAAGGACAGGAGGACTTGAAAAGGAACATGAAGAATATGAATAGAGACTGGAGTGCTAGCACTTGAAGAGTTGTTACCCGTCCCTGATAAAGGTTTATTGAATCTAGCTGTGTTTTTGAAGCTTCTTTGCTAACAAATTAGCATTTGGAAATTATGCACTGGAAATATGTTAAATACAAGGCCATTAAAAAAAAAATAATTTAATTTAAATGTTACTAAATGTTCACAGTCTTTAGTGTCTTTATAAGAGACCTTAATTGAACAAAGTGCTTAAACACACATAACTGGTTGAGTTCATATATACAGAAACATTAATATCAGAAGCTGCTGTTCTAACTGAACATTTTTTTCTGAATCGTGCCTTAATGCCTATTTGGCATTAAGGGCTGATGTGAAGCGCTGGGAATTACTCAGATCCCGACCCTGCCGCGCGGCCCAGCCCGGCGCGTCCTGTTGGGCTCGGGGCGCCCTCTGCTGCTCCCCGCGCGGAGCGCCCCGCTCCCAGCCTCCACAGCTTGGTTTTTCTTAAAGGCAAGTAAGTTTGAAAGCTTTTACCAGCTTGAAAATACATATGAGTTACATAAAACTCATCTGGTTGTATGATGAGTGCTCATGAGCTGGGTGATTGACTGGGGGATTTTCATTTTCCCAGCTAACCTAGAGGCAAAGTTAGAGATCTGTAACTTCAGGGATTTTCAGGGTAACATTTATAGCAAATTTTGTAACTAAGCAAACAAGTATCTGGCACAGCTAATGGTAAATGCTGTAACACTAAGCATATTTTTTCTATTCTTTTCTTATTAACTGTAGATCTTAAAAGTGAAAGATGAGCTGATGCCCCAGATCATTGCTTCCATGGATGAAGACTCTAAAATTACTCGACTGATGGCTTGTCGTATTGTTGATGTTTTCCTAAAAGTCTGTGGGAGGCAGTTTGATGCAGATAAATTTAAGAACACTTACACAGGTATGTGTGATGGCTTGGTAGACTTGGGGTGAGGGCATTGTTGGTTAGTTTGTGTTTTAGTCAAGATTGCAATGTTGACATTTCCTTTTTTACCCAAAGTGCCACAGTTTGCTGGACTTTTAAGGGTTTGGCAGAACCGAGCAGTATTCCCAACGTCATTATCCATCAGACCACTAGGTGGAACTTCACTCAATGCTTTGGGTTGGGCAGGGCTTGCCAGCAGCTCATCTGCATTGCTTCAGAGTTTGGACTATGTGAAATAATGTGCTAAGTATAGTGAGAGCAGAACAGTACTGCAGTGTATAAATGGAAGTCACATTGTTCTCCGTGCTGTGTTTGAGAGCCAAGAGCAAACCATTTCAGTGTACTATAAATAGACCTGAATAGGTAGCGGGTTGGGTTTTTATCTACAAAAGAAAAAAAAACAAAAAAAAACAAAACAAAGAAGAAAACTCTAATCTAGAGTTCTGTATTGCCAATTAGAGCTAGGAGCTGTAATGCCTCTTAGGATGAAGTGCTAAACTATTATTCAGAAGTACAGACTATGCTTTGAGCCAGGTTTTATGTTCTTACACAGACAAATAAATTTGCCTTTCCCTAACTCAGCATCTTAGCAACTGATATTTTTTTTCTGACATGGCACACTAGAAATCTAACTACAAACATTTTTGTTTTGGAGAAGTACATGATCAGATAATTCTCAAAGTATATTTGTCTTTGCATCTTGCGTATTCACGTAGTCGGCAGTGCAGTAATTCACTGAAACAGTAATATTTAATTTAATAATTTAATTAATATTGTTTAATAATTTAATTAATATCTAATTAATAGAAATTGTGTGCTTTATGAAGCATACAAATACTTAAACTCTGTAGTTCTCTAATGCATAAGTAGACATCAATAGTTCCTTTTTAGAAAGAGTGCTAGATAATGTTCAATTAATCTAAATACTTCTCTATATGCCTTTTATTAATGTTTGGACAACATCATCCAATAACAGTGAATGAGGAGCTTTTAGGAGCAATGTGGTACATGTATTTATTATGCTGAAAAGATAAAAATACGCCAGAAATGTAACAATAATTTGAATGTTGACAGAATGCATTTGTCTTTTCCAAATGCAAAAGCCAACTCCAGTGTTCCCAGAGCATTTTGGTTCTTGCTCCTTTTCAGAGGTGTTGAAGCGTCTGGATGATGCCTCGGGTGATGTGAGACTGGCAGCTGCTCACACCTTGGCTAATTGGTTTAAGTGCTTAAAGGACAGTGATGTGAAATCCTCAATGGAAGGTCATGTTGAGTTTCTGTACCAAGAGCTGTTGGTACATCTCGATGACCCAGATGAAAATCTCCAAAAAGCAGTCCTAGGTAAGAATTTCAGTCATGTATATTTTTAACAATGTATTTTAAATCATCATTTTGAGTGTTCATGAAGGCAGCACATACAGGTAGAGGATAACCCTGCCAGGCTAGAACTTTCTTTGGGTTTCAGTGGATGAGCTCTGACCTTTTACCTGTGTGCAAAATGAATATATGGCCCAGTGTTCCCCAGGGGAGGTAGCAGGGCAGCTGAACCTCCAGAGACTTTATAGATGGTAAACAGGATATGGAGCACTGCAGGGTGTGACCATATCCCAGCCTGCAGGAGGGGCTCTCTGGAATTTATTAGTGTAGCAGCCTGTGTTGAAGAACATAAATGTCAAAATATAGAGCTCAGCAAATGGGGGAGGGAGGAATTGTGTTGTCATCACTGCATCACTTGTAGAACAATTTCCTGGTTTGCTTTCAGCTGCTTTGCGAGAACTTGGGTAGAGAAACACAAAGCAGCTACTGATTTATAAAACATATTTTTGTCTTACAGAAGTTTTAAAGGAAGGAAGCATTTTATATCCAGATCTGCTGGTGAGAGAAATTGAAGGGGTTTTACACAAGCATCAAACACCAGTCTATTGTAATCAGCTGCTACATCACATTCAGTCAGCCAAGGAATCAGCTCTCAATCACTGCTGAGATTCTGTGTAGGAAACTGATGTGAAATCTGTATGACTTGGATTATCTTTGTATTTTGGTTTGCTTAAGAAAGGCTGAGCTGGAAGTACATTGTTTTTTCTTTGTAAATTCACTGTTGGTTCATTTGAAAGTGAAATTAGCACAATTCTATGTTCTTTGCAGTTTGAACAGTTCTTTGTATTTCCTAGCAATAAAACAATGTTTTAATTCACTTTGCATTGGTTTTTCAGATACAAGATTTAAAGAAGGAATGTTTTTTTCAGGAATTTAATTTTTAGATTATTTGACAATGTAATAATTTAATGTCAGAGTTACTAATATAATATAGCAAGGATTCAGTCTTTCAAAAAGCATTTCACACTGGATAAAATCACACTTCACAGCCAGGTATGTGGTGACCAGTTTTATTAGGGGGAAAAAAGCAGCCAGACTTCTCTTTCATAATGCAGCAAAGAGTATAATGTTTTGAATATTCATATTTATGCTGATATAATAGGGAAATAGGTAGCACTAAAAGAGTAGTTTTTATTTTTATTGTATTACATTTCATGACTGAGAGTAAAGCTGAATTTTTTAAATTAAGGTTTATACATAAGAAAAAATGTGCTGTTTTGACATTTAGATTAACAGTATTTATATTTTTGTACTAAATATATGTCATTTTCAGTTTTCATGTTTATACCACTGTGCCTTGGAAAGCAAGCAACGTTTGTTTGCATATTGCTTTGAAATTAAATTCTGTGACTTTAGGTTAAAGCTTGGTTTGTTTGGGGTTTTCTTCAGTAGCTTTGTAGAGTGTAAATTTTGGTGTCATCTTCTATTCTCAGCTGTATAATAAAAAAAGGGAGCTCCTAGATGCTGTGTACACCATTGTGGGGTAGGGTGCTGGGGTTTTTTTGCACACACAAATCATGGAAAACCAGGATTCTGATGTGGGTATTTTAAATTATCTGTATTACAGACAGAAAGTGCTCTTTGGCTTCTAATTCCCAAGTGCCTTGGCTTTGTGTCAAGTCTAAAAACAGACTCAGTGGGGGTTGTTCATGCTCCTTATGCTGTAGGAAGTGCTCGTGTTTGTTTGTCCATCTGACCTAACTTTACCTTTTCAGGCCTGTGACATAGTTGTCAACCAGCCCGTGATCTGTTTACAGCAACGTCTACTTGCCTTCCCAAAGAAACATTTGAGACAGATTACACACACAAGACAAGTTTTATTCCTAGCTTAAAGGCAAAGTCAAACTTCTGGCCACTTCTCCACAAAACACTGGCTTGCTTTGAAAATTCTCCAAAAAGGGACAATCATACTAATGATACAGAATAGTTGAGGAGTTTCTTATGGATCCAAAAGCTATTGTGCATTCCTGTAGAATAGGATACTCATTTTAGGCCCTTTGTACTGTCTTTGAAGTTCAGCTTTCTTTTGATGAAAAGCTGAAGTACAGCTGTTCCTGTACTGAGCAGCATTTTAATTGACTAAAAACTATTAACTATTTAACTCACTGTAAGTGGAGGGGCAGCTAAAATTCTTACGAGGCAATATGTATAAAATATAAATTTTGTATAAGGCAATGTGGGTGAAGTAAAAATCCCTAGAGAACATTACACAGAGTGAAGAGGTTGTGGAGTCTCCAGCCTTGGATATATTCAAAGTCTGACTTGATACAGCCCTGAGAAACCTGTTCTGCCTGAGCCTGTTGGGCTGGAGTGGGACTACATACAGCATCTCCAGGGGCCTCTTCCAGCCTGACTGTTCTGTGGTTCCATGAAATTGTTTCCTTAGTCTAATCAATTATTAAAAAGCCAATTAAATTAGACTGGAAATAGACTCTATGCTAGCAGAGACCTTGTTCTCAAAATAGCCTTTCAAAGCTCTGCAAAGCAGCAGGTTCCTGTAATACAACCTAAAGTTTCACTTCAGAAGCAAGAACCCAGATCTTATGGTAAAGTTCCCTTGAAAGTCCCCTAAATACATCCTGCTTAATGATACTACTACAGGCATGATATTTTTAGCTTCTTACGTTGCCAAAATTTAGATTCTTTACCACTGATTAACAGCCTCATGATAGCTGCAGTACAAATATTGGTCAAGTGCTTTTAATTACTCTTGTGATCTAAAGCAGAGATGTTTGCAAACCCAACTTCAAATGTGGGATGAGAGAAGAGAAGAGAACATTCTTGGTTGACGTGGAATCTGGTCAAAGTTTTTCAAGATGTTCTAAAGCAGGCACACAAATAGTAAGAGCTGAAGTATTCATCAAGCTTGATATCTTCAGCAGGCTGGGAATTTTTTTTTTCCTCCATATGTTGAACATTTTGTTATCTTTCGGAGCAGTCCGTTGTGGGATGCCTCACAAAGAAAAATCTCCACATTATCCAACAAAGCAGCTTTTTCTTCAGAGCCAGAAGAGCTTGTTAAAATGAACATTCTAATAGTCCTTCTAGAGACATGCTAAACACCAGCTTGGCCTTGTTTGTGTGTGTGTGTGAGACAAACTGGGATCTGCCACACGTCCTTTTATTAGGTCTTTTGGGTGTAGGACTTGACAATATGCTAACCTTGCTTGTATTTCAATTTATATAACCAAAATTTCTTAAATCCCTTTACAAAAATTTACTGTTATTGAGTCTGCTGTGGATGTGGTTTATTTAAAGTCATTTTCTTTGAGACTCAACTTTCAGCTTCAATCTTTTACTGGATCAGTAGGAACTCATCTAAAATGTTTTGGGGTTTTTTTCCTGTTTGGGCCGATCAGCTCTTATATTTTCTAGATTTAGTTACTGCACATTACAGAATGTCACTAGCACCATATGCATTACGTCACTTTTATCAGCTTGATCTTGTTTGTGTGTGTGTGACAAACTGGGGATCTGCCACACGTCCTTTTATTAGGTCTTTTGGGTGTAGGACTTGACAATATGCTAACCTTGCTTGTATTTCAATTTATATAACCAGAATTTCTTAAATCCCTTTACAAAAATTTACTGTTATTGAGTCTGCTGTGGATGTGGTTTATTTAAAGTCATTTTCTTTGAGACTCAACTTTCAGCTTCAATCTTTTACTGGATCAGTAGGAACTCATCTAAAATGTTTTGGGGTTTTTTTCCTGTTTGGACAGATCAGCTCTTATATTTTCTAGATTTAGTTACTGCACATTACAGAATGTCACTAGCACCATATGCATTACGTCACTTTTAAGCTAGGGCAATTTTGGGGAACAGAGCTGTTATCTCAAACTTTCAGGCACTTTAGATAAGCAGCCTTTAGCCCTGCCCTTCCTGTGACGAGCACTTGGGCCTCTGTCTTCGTCCTTGTAAGCCAGAAGACCTGTTGTGGAGGATCCTGGGACTTGGATTCTCAGCAAAACAGAGGTTTTTTAGGTAAGTGCATGCATTTGTCTAACTATATATAGAATCTTTTATATATTTGTTAACTACCTTGCATAGATTGTTGAGAAGACACTGACAAATGGGATAACTAAACTTTGAGACAGGGTCTACATCAGAGAGCATTTTAGGAGAGGCTGGTGGTTAGGTATGCTCCAGATCCATCCACTTCTCCTCCAAGTGAGTCCATCCAGGGAATGTGCAGATTTCCTCAGGAACACTGGCAGATTGCAGACACTCTGCAGGTGTCCAGCCCTGCAGGGTCATGTGAGCCCACGGGAAGGTGCACTAATGCACCTCTCTGCTTGTGTCAGCACTCTGCTCCCAGACACTGACCTCCAGCTCTAACTGCAAAGATATTATAGGCTGTAATAACAGATCACAGCTCTAATCTAATCTAATCTTTACAAAGAGAAATTTAGCTATTAAGGTATAATAAGTTAAAACCAGGAAAGAATTTGTATAGTCCATAGTACTGTTTTACTACATAGTACTATGATAAAACTATCCAATTAAAGTACAGTATAACCATAATAAGTATTTATGTCATTATGGTAGAAGTTATTCTATTCTATTTATTTATTATAAATAAATTGTACTATAATAGTTCTATATAGGAAGGTTAGAGTTCTGATGGACTACTGCACAGGCTTTATCTTGCTGGGGGAAGCCCCTTGTCTGCACCACACAAACATACCAGGGCAGTGCCCCAAAAATAAAGTAACATCTTGGCTTTGGAAAGCCAACTGCTGGCTTGAGATCAGCCAAGCCTCTTGATTCATTTGCAGAATCTGTGTTAGGATCCCTGCAACTGAAGGTGAGCAGCTGTTTGCTAGAAGAGTGGATCAGAGCTGGGTACATCATGGTCTGCTCTGTGCCTCAGCCCTCCATGTGAAGCTCTAACCATGTTTTAAAAAGAGAGAAAGAAAAATAAAGGAAAAAAAAAATCTTCATTATTAGGCATCTGAAGGATCAACAAAAATTACAGTTAACAAGCTTGTGTCCATTTACTGGGATCAATCCCCCAGAGAAGCAGGAGCTGAGCTGAAGCAGCAGATGAGAGCTGTGAGGAGAGCGGCTGCTCTGCCCGCCTGCCTTGGGTGTAATCAGCTTTTCTTGTTAATGTCTGAAATCCCCTGTAAGTCAGGACCACGGAGATGCAGTGGCAAAACTGATCTGAAGTGCTCTGCATCCCCCTTTACCTGATAACCCAATTGCTCTGCATGCAGCACCCACTGCCTTTGGCTGAGGGCTGTGGGGAAAGGGCCCTGCTGAGCTTAACCAGAGGCATGCAGGTGGTGAGAAATCTTTTCTTTAATGAGCAAGAAATCAGATTTACAGATATTTCAGGTGATTTTTGTGCTACCACATATATATGATGATCTGCCCTGCAATGGACACAAAGGTCACCACTCCCATCCTGTGCAGCAGCGTGCCGTGCCCAGTACCACCAGGCAGAAACACCTCACTGCACTGGTTTCTGCCACATTCAGTCTGCACCTTCAGTCACTGTGGGGATTTGCCCCTTTTTGATAGCAAGGACCAGAATGTGGAGGACAACAGGTTTGCTAGGTGTGACTGCAGGGGAGAACTGGGACTGGGAATCATAGTGGGAAGGGAGCAGTAATGTGGGGAAGGGAAGGGAAGGGAAGGGAAGGGAAGGGAAGGGAAGGGAAGGCTAAAGAAATGTGGTCCTTGGATTGGTTTGGCCCTGTATTGCAGCTTCCCCTGGTGTCAGTTAAGAAAGCTTTTTTCCTCTAAATTCTTAACTGCCCTCTACAATGTTAAAAATGGAACATTGTTAATGTGGTCAATTTTTATTCTTACTGACCTTTGTTCTCTATACACTTCAACATAGCAAATAAAATTGTCAGCCCACTTTACATTCAAAACTTATTAGAGGCTGAGAAACCTTGAAGGAATTTTTGTTTGGCTCAGAGCAGTTTCTTCTGAAATGTGGAAAAATTAACTCCCTGTCACACAAGCTTGTTTTAACCAAACCAGGATATCTGACCAAGTTTCCATTAAATCCTGGAAACTTAAAAAAAAAGCTCTATTGCCTCTCATAGCTGAGGAGTGGAGGGAAAACTGAGCTTCAGCCATCATCCTCCAGCCAACCTCTTGGACTGGTTGTGATGGAAAAACAACTGCTCAGGACAAGTCAGAGCAGCCTGGGAAGCTGGCAGCACCCTGGGAGAACGACATGCCTTGTCCTGCCAGAGCTGAGTGCTGCCTGCCCTGCCTGGGCTCCAGGGGAACAGGGTGGGAATCAGCCCTGAGAGGGCCTGGCCTCACACCACCAAGGAATTTAAAGGAGATTTAAACTAAGAGGTGATTTTGCCCTGAGTATCTTAAGCCTTTCAATATTATCTACTCTTAAGACAGGAAAACAGGTGTGGAGTAAGCACAGAAAGAGAAGGAGTGGCCAGAAAACTGATTCTGCAAAATATCCAGCCATATGCAGGGAGGAGGAGACTGGTGCAGGCTGCACATCTGACCAAACCAGGCACTGGCTTCCAAGTGTCACTGGGGTCACCTCAACTTTGGCTGCAGCATCTTAAAACTGTAATGTAGCTGGAGCAAAGCACTTCTAAAAGAAACAGGAATTGCCCCAAATCAGTGCTACAACAATATCAGCTAATACCTTAAGTGAATATGTTTATCTTGCATTTTCTGTTTCTTAAGGATTAACTGCCTTCTCTCATTTTGTTTCCAAACATTTGGGTTATTTGATAATTACATATTTATTAGCCAGTCTTTCACAGCAAGCTGAGTCATTTCTCCTGCACACACAAGTAAATAACAACTTATGGCCTGGTTAGCCTTTCCGAAGTGACAAATTCTCTATTCTGGTCACTGACATTGCACCATCCCTGCCAGCTGGGCCCACAAGAGAACCGTGGACTCAGGGAAACTGAATGCTTAAAAAAAGTCACTGAGGCACAGGCTCCGCATTGAATGTATTTGCATACATTCCCCGAGTGTTTGAACAATGGGGCTTGTTTCTTCTCTGCCAAGAACCAGTCCCATTCCTGGAAGTGTTCAAGGCCAGGTTGGACAGGGCTTGGAAGAACCTGGTGTAGTGGGAGGTGTCCCTGCTCATTGCAGGGGAGCTGGAACTAGATAGGCTTAAAGGTCAGTTCCAAGCCGAACCATTCTCTGATTTCTTTTCCCTGTGGCTGTCCGGAGGTTTCTGTGGCCCAATGCTGGCACGGGTGAGATTCGCTTGGGCACCACACGGAGCCGAAGCGCTTCAGTCCCACCGGGCCGGCCGGGCGTGCGGTGCCAAAATCTTAGCGGAGGAGGGTGAGTCAAAGGGAAGGAAAATCCCAGAAAGGCCGAGTAGGAAGCAAACACTGGGAGGGAAAGTCAGTGAGTCAAGCAATAGAGTGAAAACCTGAGTTAACTCTCCTCGCCTCTCCACTGCTCGTTCCACAGGCTCCCACAGCTCCATTTCGCGGAGGGGGGAGCCGAGGCAGGAGGCGGCCGGGCTGTGGCCGCTGGCGGGGGCAGCCCCCGAGCGGGGCCCGAGGAGGAGGCGGCGGAGGCGGAGCGGAGCCCCGTGCCCGTGTGTGAGGGGCCGCGCGGGGCGGGCGCTGAGGGGGCGCTGCCGGCACGCGCCGCGCGGGGGGGGCGCGGCCGGCCCGCGCGGCGCGGGGGGGGCGGGGGCTCCCGGCGGCCTCGGCAAAGCGGGCGGAGCCCAGGCAATCTCAGCCGCCGCCGCCGGTGCCGCCGGCTCTGCCTTTCCTTCGTTGCACCGGCACCAGGTAACTCCCGCCGCGGCTCTCGTCGTCGCGTAGGTCCGGGCCCTGCGCTCCCCCGGCCGCCCCCGGAGCGCGGGGTTCAGCCCGCCCCGACCGTTGCCAACCGCCCCCCGCCCGCGCTCACCCGTTCCCCGCCCGCCCCCGCTTCCCGCCGGGCCGGGGCCGCGTGTGGCGGCCGCCCGCCCGCGTGGGAGCCCCCAGGGCGCGGTGTCTCGGGTCTGCGGCCTCCTCCGAACGGGGGATCGGTGTCCCTGCCTCGGGCAGCGGCGCAGGGGAGGCAGCGGGGCGTGAGGCGCCGCGGGCTGGAGTCGTGGGGCGGGCGCTGACCCCTGGTTAGCCCGGAGTTCTGTCGGTCGGCGCTGTTCGCGGGGAGGAGAGAGAAACCTCAGCTGCCCCGGTCCCTCTGGGCCTGGCACCCGGAGGGTTTCCTTGTTAGAAGAAGCTATAACCTGCAGCTTGCTGCCCTGCTTGTGAAAGAGCTGATAAGTGCGCGGTGGTGCCGGCGCTCGCCGCGGCTGCCGAGCCTTGGTGCAAAGGTAACGTGCTGCGATGGGTGTGGGGCAGCACAGGTAGACAGACCTGTCCGCGCTGTCCCCCGGCTGTCACCTCAGGGCAGCTGCTTCTGTGGGGAAAGTGTTGTCTAACAGACGGGTTTACTGTGGAAGAGTTTGGCATCGCTCGCCGAGTGAGTGACTGCTCGTGTTTTCACAGCAAAATGTGCTATTTTAGTGCTGTGCTGCTTTTGAGGTGATAGTGCTGTGTTCCTCATGCCATGTTCACGTTTGGCTGCCCTTCAGTAACCACAGGGGGAGAAGTGTCAGGAACACTGGAGACAGCACCTGTTTTCTGACAGTTCCTGTAAGTTTTAGGTCTGCTGGGAAGAAAAAGTATTTGGTTTACCTTATTTTGCGTTCCTTATTTTATGTTGCCTTATTTAACATTATACTATGTTAAAATAAAATACATTTTATAAATATATTGTTTATAATATATTAGAGGGAAGGAAAATATTAGCAGCAAATTCCGGGTTTCTGCAGCATTTGCAGGCCCCCCCATCTTACCATCTGGTTTTCAGTTTAACATTACGCAAAAAGGAAGTTCAATATTTGCTAATTTTTTTTAATGTTTCTGTTTCATTGCTTTGCAACTGACTATTCCAGGCTAATGCTTCTCTTGAATTTCCCAGTGAATCCTAATGTTCAATTCTTGCTTTTGCGTGTGGGGGTGAATTACTAGTTGCTGATTTTCATACCGGTGTTTGGAAGTGAGTTGCAGAGTGTTTTTCATCCTGAGTGAGCTGGACGGAGGATTTTATTGACAAGCTTAGCAGGCTTTTTACATTGCTCTGTTAGTAAATGTGGTGGTGTACAGATATCCTTAAATCTGCGCTGCTTGGCTTGTAATTTTGTGATTATAAGGCGTGGACGTTTAGGCATTCAGGTGTCCCTTATAAAGAGCGAGATGTGGGGGTTTAATTTGATCGCTGATACTGGGGGTGTTTTATGGGGCAGGTGAAGCGCTTCAGGAGCGTGACGGGCGAGGTAAAGCACGCCTTTTGTTGTGCGCCGGCGGGCCGGGCAGCGGAGCCGCAGGGGTTAAGGCGGTGGGGTTGGCCGGGCCGCCGCCTCCAGTGAATTCAAACTCGGCGAGTGACGGGGAGCGCGGGGGCCGGGCCGGCGGGCGCTGCGGGCTTTGTTGGGGCCGGGAGCCATTTTGGGCTCGATGGCACGGCGTGTGCCGCCCGCCGGCCAGCGCGCCCTCAGCCCGGGCCGCGGCGCATGGCGGAGCGCGGAGCTCGGCCCGCGGGGGCGCAGGGCCCGGCCAGGCCCCGGCGCGGCGTGTGCGAGCGGGCCCGAGCGGGCCGGGCTCTGAGGCGCTGTGCTGGCAGCGGGGCCCTGCGTGTAAACAATGAACCGGCACGCTGCTTGTTTCAGCGCGGCTGAGCGCGTGGCTGGTTTTTGTCAGCGCCTCCTTTAAAAAGCGTTTCGAGAGGTACAGAACGTGAATGTGCGTGTGGCGGTGAGCCTGCGTTTTGTTAGTGCTGTAGTTTGACGTCTGTGTTTGGGGATCTGTGCCGTAATGCTCAATGGTAACATCCACTGTAAAATACCGGGTTTATTACTTGTGGGGTTTTTGTTTGTTTGCTCTTGGGTTGCTCTTTTAAAGGAATAATAATGTTTTATGAATGTGTGTTTTAATAAAATGTTGATTTAGCTTGGAGCTCTTTGCTCTTCAGCCTGTTTAAACCAGTAATTAACTTGCTATGGTGAAACATCCTTTTGTGGAGTATGTATTCGTAGGAATTTGCGTTCTTTAACCAAAAACACTGGTTTTATTGGTTATTCTGAATAAAAGAGTGAAATAAAAATTGAAATTACAAGTAAAAAATGGGTTGCTCTCAGAAACTGATGGAGTTTGCATGTTCCAGTTTCATTGTTATTGGTAGTTTGCCCAAATCTGTTTACATATGTGGCATCAAATGTTAAGTCATAGTGACTTAAACTTATTTGGCTTTAAAATGTGAGGGTAGTAAAGGTTCTATTTGAAACACTACTACCAATATCTAAGGCTTTATTGTGTAATTTATTATCCCTTGTAACATAAAAAATAAGACATGCTGTCTTGGGAATTTTCTCATTGTTTAACTGACTTTGGTGAATATTTCTACTCTGCCAGGGTCCCTTTTGTGCAATGGCAATTTACCACTTCCTTTGTTTCAAAAGGGCTTCATGAGGAACTGCCTGGACAGTATGTTTGTAAAAGTCTGTGTACCCCAAAAGCCATCAGTGAGGGTTTGTGTCTGTCCGTGTGAGGTGTTTGTAGTCATGGTCAGTGTTTGGTGTTGCTCCCCCTGCCTTGTGATGCTTCAGTGCGAAAAGGCCACTTGTAGAGCATTTCATCATCTTTCCTGGAAGCCAGGAAGCTTGCTGCCATGGTGCTAGCATTTTGTTTGAGGCTGGCTGATTGTGAAAGTGACTGTCAGATAAGCTTTTTTTGAGCTAGTGGTGCAGCCTCATGTTACTCAGAACCTTCGAAGTCCTTTGGAGACAGCCAAGAGCCTTGTGTGCAGGTAAATTCTGCTGCACTGATTACAGGAGTTCCTGAGCTTCCTTGTGTTCTGACAGAGTCACAATCTGTTTTCTCCCGCCCTTCTGCTGTGCTGATTTATTGTAACACAGATTCAGTTTAATTGCAAGGGAGAGATGATGCTTAGGATGACTGTTGTGCCTGCTTCCCAAAAAAAGGCAAATAATCCAGCTGTCCCCTCTGCAGGAGTGTGGAAGTTGGCTTGTAAGCTGAGGCTCACGGAGCATCCGCTTGCATTGCAGTGGATCTGTGTGCTTCCCTGTAATTCACTGTGGGCTGTCTTATCAGAGTGTTCTTATCACTTGGGGCTTTTATACAATGACAGGCTTGGTTCTTGCACTATACATACTTTAGTATTAGAAGCAGATGTTTATGGGCTTCTACAAAAGGGAAAAAGGCTATTTTGGACTTTGAGCCTGGTAATCTTGCAACAAAGCTGAGACTAAAAGTCTACATGAAACTGAGTCCAGACAGATCTGTGGTACCTAAAGCAGAAAGGTGTTGGGCACCCAGAAGTGTTCAAGCTGGATCTAAGTACAGTGCCTGCCTCTCAGGTTCTCTGCCAACTTTTTTGATTTAAGATTTTCAACATATTTTATTAGCATGTCTCTTTCTGTTCCAGTTGTGTATGAAAGTTTCATAAGCAAGAAGAATGATAATACATGAAAGGTGGAGTGCTGTTAAACATGAGTGAACAAATTAGAGTCAATGTCCTCCACCCACCCTGTGTCTGTTTTGTAATACAGATGTATTTAGAATATTTCTAAATAAATTGGGTTGATCATTTGTTTTGAAGAGGTGTATAACTAAGATTAAGCTGTTGAACTAAAAGTCAGGCTTAAAAAATCCAGTTTCATAGTAAATTCTAGATGCCCATTTTTGCAAATGGTGGTGGTCATCTGTGAAGATGACTTTCAAATGCTTTTTAAGGCAGTTAAGTCTGTGTTGTTGCTTTGAAAAACTGAGTAGAGATTTCTCCTCTTGAGTCAGAATTAATTTTAGAGCATCAGACAAGCAGTGAATCAAACCAAGCCTCTAAATCTTCCAAGAGTGATTTCTAAGTGTGGTGTTTAGATGGCAAACCTGATATCTTCACTGGAGAGCTGGGTGCTATCAAACCCAGCTATTAATAGACCTACGAGGCTTTGCAGTTAGCACTGCCTTTGTCAAACACATATATTTTATCTATAATAACTTAATGATACAATTAAAACCTTATCAAATAAGAAATATTGTTTATATTCTAGCATTTGATTTATTCAGAAATTAAGTAAAGAGAGAACTGGTGGTGAGAGGGAAAAGAACAGGGAAGAAGCTGAGCCAATATGTTGTTTTTCAAACTCGGCCGTTGCCGTGCCCATATGGGCAGTGCAGACAGGGAGGAGCTGGGGAACTGCTCAAAGCTCACTGGCATAGCTGAGCTTCCCATGTGGGAAAATGTTGCTGCAAGTCAGAAGGATTAGCTACTGAGTTGCCAGTTAAAAAATAGGTTTTATGATGAAATGATGCGTGCTAAGCACACACATCAACTCCAGTGGAAACTGAACCAGTTTTTTCTACCTTGGGGTTTAAAAATCTTTATTGGCATAACCAATTCAAACAGATCAACCTTAATCATAGTTTTCTGCTTCAGCAGTCATGTCTGAGAAACCTGTTTTGCTGTTTTTTAATACCAGTGCTCTCTGATGTTATCAGCATCCTTCATCTTGAAATTCACAATATTTCCATGTTCATTCCTGGCGAGCCATTGCTCTCTGGTCCCCATTTCCTATGTGCTAAATTGAGCTCCTGTTTGTTGATAAAGTGAAGCAGCAGTTGTTGCATATTCCAACAGAAATTGCTGCTCATTCTAGCAAAAGAATGAGGCTGCTTTGCTAATACTTCCGCACTACTGATTTGAGCTTCCTGTAAACAAACAATAAATTTATATACAAGTTAGTGAAAACATTATGGCTCTGGGGCAAATGAAGTGAATGTAGAGGATCACTTAATGGAAATGTGTTCTCTATAATAACAACACCAAAAAAAAAGTAAATAGCAAGAGACCTTATTTTTCATTAACTTCACTTTCCATGGGAGGTGCTTGGATTTAGGAACTGCGATGCTTAGGCCCGGAAGTTTGAATGTTTTTAAGTCTTCAGTAGTAATGGAAATACTCTCCTGCCTTACTGACCTCAGGATTTGGAGGCTGCAGGTAGACTGACTAAGAGCATTTTAATGTTATGTGTACAGATTTCTTTTGAGCTGCTTTTGCCTGTACCTGCTTTTTGTCCCAATTTCTTATGCATATGTAGCTATACAAAATGATAACTCTTATTTCGGCATAGGAAAGTGCATCTCCAAAATGAGATGCTTGTTGATGTTGATTATGAAAATTAGCTGGGGATATTTTTATCCTGGTTCAGATATGTCATCACAGATGTGTGGAATATCTTTTACTGCTGTTGAAACAGGAGCCATAGATAATCTGCAAGTAGCCAGGATTCTGCCTTGCTAACCCTGCAAATCCAGAATAGCCAAATCCCTGTTTGTTAACTACAAATAAGCTATCATCTAAGAATGTTTTCTACAAAATTAAATTTTTTTTTTGCTAATAAAACTGAGGAGGACTGAAGGTTTTTTGCAAATACTTTGAAATTGGAAGTCAGGTTGTTCGTAGTACCACAAGTAGTGACCCGTGCAGCTCTTCAAGTTAGTTGATATGACAACATCAGTTTTTATTTTGTTTACTTTCAAAGGCCCCATGGAAAGTTTTACAAATGTTGCTTGGGTGGTTTTGATTTGGTAGCTTTGGCTTTGGGTTTGTTGTTTTTTTTGGAAGTGGATGGCACTCTGGAAAATGTGCCTAATTCTACCCTATGAGTCACTTTGCAGTTGGCTCTTTTGCTAGGGTGTGTATTCAGTGGTTTTAATGACAGGAATAAATTATGTGAAATGAAGGATACTCCCTCGCTGCTTAGTGGATGGTATTCAGAAGTGCTAGAGCAAAATGATTTGACTATGTGTAAAAACTTTCTCAAATTTCATCTGCATTATTCTTAGTTTGGTGCATAGAGCAGCCTGTGCTTTGCTCAGAGGGCACTCAAAGCAAAACACATTTTGAAGAGATCTCTGAAACATGGCTGCATGGTTCTTTAGATTTTTATACTTAGCTTCTTTAGGGGATACCACAGTAGTTCCTGTGGAAGTGTTGTAATTTGGTTGTGATAAGAGTTTGGCTCGTAACTGCCATGTTCCAGAGAACTTGGAAACAGCTGAAAGTGGGGTATCATAAAGAAGGTCACAGCCAGAAATACCCTGAGCTTCCTGTAGCAGTGATAAGAGATACCTGGCACTAGCAGCAATACTACTCCACTACTGAGAGCTCCATGTTTCTGGTAATAGCTCTTTTATTTCAATGCTTAATAACACAGGCTGAACAGTGCAAGGGCTCCTAGAGTGACTTGATGTAATTTTAAGTCATTGCATTACTTTATTTTCACCTTTTACAGTATGATTTGAAACTGTCACCATGGACTTTTCACGTCTACACACGTACACCCCTCCCCAATGTCTGCCAGAGAACACTGGCTATACATATGCACTCAGGTGAGAACCCTTTTCTTCTTGTAGACAAACTGTCTGTTCTCTGAATGTTGCTAATCTGGAGAGTTGAGCTTTCATGGTAAGTAGCTGACTTCTTTGAAGAAGTGGGCTTTTTCTGGTCTGGTTTGAAAACAAGTGCTGTGTTCTAACTGGAGGAAAGAAAATGTTGAACTGCCAGGACAGTGACTAAGATAATGACTCAGTGTTTATTAGTTGCTATGAATAACTTGTGTCCGCCTAGTTACAACTGCTGTTGGATTTCTATAAATATGTCCTCAAAATTCTTCGATGTTTTGTGTCTTGTAACTTCGGTGTGTGCTTTCTTTTGTGACTTGGGACCACTTTTCCTTTAAAACACTGATTTTTGTGCACTCATTGCTGCTAGTGTGGGACTTGGCTGGAAGTAACACATTGATTACTTCTTTTAGCAAAGCTGCTTGTTGGGTGATTATGAAATCTGTGTTCTAATGAACTTGCTTTTCCTTGTATCTTTTTTTGTATCTTCTAATTATCTTGTTTTTTTCTTGTATCTTTGTTTTGCTTAAATCACTTCAGTTTTCTAGAAACTAACTGTGGTGTTTGGTAGTTTTTGTATTATGTATTCAGAATAAGTGTTGTGATGCTTATTTTGAGTTTTTTACTATTAAAGTAACAGATTGTTGCTGTTCTGTGAGCTTTTCCTGCTGTTGCGATGTATACCTCCTTCAAAATATATCGGTGATTCGAGTTATTGCTTTAGCTAATTTTAAGTTCAAAAAATGATTGTTTCTTAGGATGCAGTATGAGTTTTTCTTTTCTATTCCCTCTGTACATCATTACTATGTGTTGTTATTAAAATCCGTTATGGAGATAGGAGAATACTTGGCTACTTGCCAATAAAACAGAAGTTGGAAAAACTGTAGCATTAAGAGATTACTGAGTTAATGCTCTTCTTTTGTGTGCTCCAAAACTGTACACTTCCATTTTCTGTACCTGTAGCCTAATGTCAGTAGTGCTGCAAAATGTGACGTGTTGTGTTGCATCAATTAAATTGCAGTTTTTCCTGAATTTTACGAAAAACTATTAGTAAAATGTTGGTTATATACAAGTGGGTTTTCTAATGTCAAGAAAAGCTTGCTGGGCAATGAAAGATGATCTACATGCCTTGTATCCAGCAGCAGTTTCACTTCTGTATTACTGAGTGAATTTAGTTACTTTTGTGTTGCAAATGTACCTTAGAGATTGACTGATATATTGTAACTCCTGACAGGTTAAACTCCTGTGGTATTCTTATCCAAAATTCTCATCCAGTGAAACAGTGGGCAAGTAGAAAGGAAGATGCAGAATGATAAATCCTCTTGGACATCTGGAGGATATTTTGACTTTGGTGGGGTTTATTTAGGGGACAACTGAGTGTTTGTCACACTGCATAAATGAAGACTGCTTTGCAAAACTGAGAAGTTGTGAAGGCGTTATTTGTCCTGAAACTTCCCAGCTTGCCATTTTACCATGTTAAACTATTAGGCATAGGCAATTGGAAATGGACAGAGCTGGGTGAGATGAAGTTTAATAACAGAATTAATGAAGGCCAGTATAGTTAAACTAGGTTGAAATTAATTTATTGTAATTCTTCCTCATGTAGAAAAGAAGGATTGGCAAGCTCTTTCTTTAAAATTGTGTGAAGCCCCAAATGTTAAAATAATGGGGGCAAACTACTTGCTACACTGCTATGACACTGCTTTCAGGGTGTCAAGAGAGTAAACCACAGTCTTTTGTGCAGACTCTTGCTGTGCCTCTGCTTGCTCTGTATGTGCAGAATGACATCTATTATTGTAGCTCTTCCTACTCTGGGTCAAACAATATTTGAAGACTCTGAGGAAATTGCTAATCAGAAATATTTTCATGTTGAAATTTGTTCCTTCTTACCCCTCACCTGTGTTTGTTGTGCTTATGTTCTAATCTGGTTTATTCTGCCTTTGACAATTCAATCTTTACAGACTCTTTTCTTTAAAGAAATTGGCTTGGGATGTAGCCCTGCAGAAGTTTGCTACCACAAAGCTATTAATAGAGTTGGCTATGATTTATTAATAGAACTTATATTAATACTCACTGGAATCACTGTGCGTTCATAGCTGTAGTGCTTCTGCTTTGTGCCTCTATACTCCTCCAGCCCAAATGACAAAAACATTTAACTGATATACCTAAATAATCTTTATCTTCCTACAAATGCAAGTCAAACTTGTGAATACCACCCACCTGTCAACATGCAATTTACACCCCACTCTTATGACTGATCTTTCTTTTTAGTCACCATCATCTTTTGAATTGTGTTGTCAGTTTGGGTGGCTTTAACACTTCTTCACAAATATGGGTTAAATCAATAAGAATTTGGTTTGATTTTCTGTGTCAGAACATTCATCTGGGATGTAATTTTCTGCACAGTAATTGAATAAAATCCTTTGAGGTTTTTAAGTATGTTCTGGGTCTGACTGAAGAAATAACTAAACAATTCAAGGTAGTGTCCTTGTTCACTTAATGTAAGTAATGCCCCCTGGTTAAAAAGCCTGTGAATTTTTTTGTATTGACTATATGTCTGTCCATGTTAGAAGATGCCTTTTCAGTTGTAGATCTCTAGGTGTATTGCATGTGCCTGTTATCCTGAGTAGTCAAGAACATCACTGCCCATTTCATTGCAAGGAGTATTTATAAATAAATGATAATTAAGGTCCTTCAGACAAGCTATAGGCATGCTAAAATTGGCAGACCTCATTCTCATTCCACTTGCTTGGATAAATAACCTGCTGAAGTCTAGGACATTCTTAGTGTGTAGAAGCTCATGTGAAGAAGGTATCAAGAAGCTGGAAATGTAAGACTAGATCCAGTCACCAGCTCTGCCAGCAGCCGTGGGAGCTGTTTGCTGGGGGAAGGAACCAGAGTCCTCACTGTTTGCAGAGGTTATCCAGGAGTGTAGGCTAACTGCATCCCACCTTTAGGTGTTTCTTGGTTAGCTGTACATATTGCGTAGGAGGACATCAATGTACAGGTTCATTTCTGGCCCTTGAAAGGAAGGGAATGGTTTTTTATTTGCTGTAGTCTTTTCTGTAGACGAAAAAAGGCTGCATTCCAAAGTATGGGAAGTGAGATGGCAAGTTAGGAGACTTCTAGGTACTGTCCTGCTGCCAGGGGACAGATAATGTGAAGAGAATTACTACCCTGCATAAGTGGGAGACAAGCCCCTTTTGTTAAACAGATTCCATGATGATTTGTTGGGTTTATTTCGATAGTAGAGCTCAAATTCAAACTATTTATTTAACCCACATCGGTATAAATGCTCATTGAGATACTTAGTAACAGCAAGTGTTCATAAACAGAAACAAATTGAGGCCGGTCACAGCTGTCATCTTGTTCTGTGTACTTTGTGTTCTTGTGAATTGAGTATCTGTAAGAAACGTGGGGTGAAGATGAGGAAAAGCAAATGCATAGTGGCAAATGTAAATAGCAAAACTGAGTTCTGAAACAACTGTTTAGGGAGGGTCTCAATAGAAAACTGTTGTGGCTCTGACCCTTTCAGAATAACAGCAGGACGAGCCACATTTAACCCATATTCTTTCTTCATATCTGTCAGAGTATGAGTCGTTTATATTTAGTATTTTTGAAAACTGTAAAATTTAAACTCTTTAGTCTACAATTGGTGGAGTACATGAGAAAACATGTTATTTCTTCTCCCTCTTCCAGCCAAATGAAAGCAAGGAATAACAAGCCTAATGTATTTAGTATATATGCTGGGTTTGTTAAGTTGTGCTGAGGCTCTTTGCTGCCTTGCACAGGGTTGCACTGCACGTGCCAGCATTCTCAGGGCAGACCAGTGAGATCCAGCGCACAGAACCAAAGCCCTGCCATCCAATCTGTGCTACTCTGGGCCGTGGAAGCAGCTACTTTGGACAGACTCTGGTCTGATCTAATGGGCTGAATGCCCAGCTGGTTTTGGAGCCATGAGATATTTTCCAGCAGTGTGTTGTCTGGGTTAGTTTTTTAGCCAACAGAAGTGCAGTTGACATGCTCTGACAGCCCCATCTTACATACTTTGTGTTGAGGAACAATGAAGAAACTGATTTCAAAAGCACCACCTTGTCAGAATTACATCATTACTGTAAGTGTAGCTTCAAGGCCTTCTGGTGTGAACTTATTTCTATGCTGAAGCAATACAATACTTACCATATTATTACTTTGTGATGTTCTGAGATCTTTAATAATGGTGTGAGAAAACTATTTCCATTAAGTCGTTTTTACACAAATACGTTTTATAGTAGCTGTTTGTATGTATTTTTAAAGGGAAAGCTTCCATTTAAAATACAGGTTGCACAGTAAAATCTACTCATTCAGATCTAATTTGCTTGTTTGTTTTTGTTTGGGGAGAAAGAACTGCTGTCATAAACAATTCTTTGCTTATCTCTTCTGAAAAGCCAAACAAAGCCTCCAGGAGTACTGAAGTGCTGTTACATCTCTGTATATCCCTGTGGCCCAAGAAGGGACAGAGTCCTCCTGAAAGCTGGCCCAGAGCACTTAGCATTTGGATGCTGTGGGTCACAGGGCTGAGCAGTTCTAGATCCTGACCTGCTGTGCAGTGCCCTGTGTCAGCAGCCTCTGCTCACTTGCATAACTAATGTTTCCTTTGGTTATAAGTATGAGAATTCTGCTTCAGGCCGAACTTCTGCTTTGGTAAATGTATTTCTTACAGACTCCTCAGCTTAATCTGTTTGTGTTTGCCTTGTGTTGTTGCTTTGTCTTTGCTGTAAGTTTTCATGGAGGCTCTGAGAGAATCACATGTCAAAATGTGGAGTTTGTGGGGTAACGACATGAAGACTGTCTGTGTGTAAACTTGCCTCTGTGGAGAAAAACAAATTGGATTATCTAAACATTTTTTGTTAAATATTTCTAATGGTTTGCATTAGATTGGGAAATATTTTTAAACCACTTTTTTAAAAGCAAGTAATGGTTGTTGAACTGAAATAGCTGAAATAGAGAAGTCTTTAAGTATCTTAGAGGGAGGAAGTTCCTACTTGTTGAGAAGTGGAAATTCAGGGTAATATGGCATATGAATCTTCAGTTCTCAAAACAAGGACTTGGCAAGCAGAAAATCTACAAAAATGAACTTAGACTGAAAATTAATCTTTGCCTTGCAGCTTGGAGTGTGTAATTTTTAATTTGCTGCTAGGCATGGTGAAGAAACTGTGTCATGAATGGCTTCCACTCTCAAGTTGGTCCCAAAAGAATGAGTGCTTGCTCTGGCTAAACTTCATACATTGTTTCCATGGTGGTTGTTTCTTTCTGTGATTTGTTTTCAGTCCTAGAACTCAAAATATGAACTGCCTAGGAGAACCTTGAATATCTACATATATCTAGATTATTTGGGTTATTTGGTATATCTTGTGGGGATTGTACCGTAACCCCAAATAAACTGCATTTAGTGGAAACTTGGACTAGCTTGAAAAACATGTTTGTTACCAGGTTGAATTCTCCCAGTAACTTTGCTGTTCTTATTTTACTGCAGTTCGAGTTATTCTTCATCTGCTTTGGATTTTGAGACCGAGAACAAAATAGATCCAGTGTTTGATTCACCCAGAATGTCACGGCGTAGTTTACGGTTGGCTGCTGGAGGATACAGTAAATCAGATGATGGACACAGTGATTCCCTTCATGACAGCTCTTATGCTGGAAGCATGTCCTTCAGGGATCAGTCTAAGTAAGCATTTTTAGTCATCACTAGTAAATCTTGAGTCTTACTGTTTGAACACAGTAATGCAAAAAGGTTACCTAGAGGTCTTATTTTTTGTTCTTGGTGTTTGCTGCCATACTCTGAAATTTATGTTCAGTATGTGGTTTGCAATGATAATTTTTTACAAAAGTCTTTGTCAAATTATAGGTGCTTGAAGGCTAGGACTTCCTTTTAAACCTTGTTTGCTCTGTTTAGTCACGTCAGTGTTGAAATGACTGTTAATTAATTTATTAGTAAAGTGAGAGAGTGACAGAAATATGTGTCTTTAGTGCTATGTCTTACTTGCCTTTGTTTCCTAGGGCGATGAAGCAACGCAGAAGTATGAACAAGCAGTCTGGCAGTGGGAGACATGTGCCAAGGAAAAATCTGCCCAGCTCATCTATTTTTAGCCAGAGCAGTTTCAATAGCCATGCCAGTGATACATCAATGATGTCCAGTATATTGGATGAGTCTCTGATTCGGGAACAGACAGAAGTTGATCATTTCTGGGGTAGGCAGTAATTGCTATTGCTTGTATCAAACTGTGCAAACTGTTTGTTTTGGTGTGTATAAATTTATGATCTTTGCATCACCTGTTGTCCATCCTATCCCCAAACGTGTGCATTTGCACTTCAGCTGTAGGGGTCTGCTTGCTAAGATGCCCTCTGGAAATTCATGGTCCAGTGTGTAAATTTGGTTTAGTGGCATGGTTAACGTCAAGACGTTCACAGTCAAGTTAATATGCCAGCAAACATAAACACTTCTGTGATGCAATGCCATAATTATCTCTTGTCATTGCTTTCTTCAAAAGGTACACAGAGTTCTGTATTGAAAGAATGGTAAACATATAACTTGTTTTTGAAAAGTCAAAGGAAAAGCATTGTCTTACTTGTTTGTAGGCAGAAATGTGTTTCTTTTTAACTTACCTTAATATGAAAGTTTCAAATTAGTGACATTTCAGAATTTCCCAAAGGGGTTTTTGTGTGTGTGTGTGTGGCTGGCTGGTTTGGCTTTTTAACTGTACCAAAATGTATTTTCCTGGAACCTTTTCTCTTCAATGAAGATAAAATATGAGAGTTGTCTATATAAAGTATTGTCTATGTGAAGCATTGTGTACAACCAGATCAGCAATTTGTTAGATGTCCCAATTCAGACTCTTTCTTTGTTTCCAGTCAGAATACTTGTGACCTTCCCAGAGTCCTAGTGGGAAGAATTGTGTCGATCTTGGTAGAACCCATTCTAAATTTTAGATAACCTGGCTCTTAAAACAGAATTTTAAATACAGTAGTATCAAAGTCATTACCAAGCAGCAGAAACATTGTAAGCTTGTAATTAGCTGCTTTAACTTCTTGTGAGAACTAAGTCAAGGTGCAGTTGGCATTCATGTTGCTTTGCCTGCCCCTTCTGTGGTGGGATGATTTTCACAGCTATTACCCTACTACAATAAGGTCTGGATAGATGTTTCTCTGATGGGCTGCAAAATACGTTAAATGTTAAACATAAAGAGACTTCCTTTGAACTCTTAAAATTAGTGGGACTTCTAACTTGAGTTTGTCAGATACTGTAATTCAGCTTCTTATATTTGGGACCAATTTCTTGTTTTTTTTTCCATTCACAGGCCTTGATGAAGAAGGTGACCCCAAAGGTAAGTACACTTGGCTTTTCCCTCCTCATTGTTTCTGTGTGACAGGCACGGTGCTGGCAGTGCTGCCATGGCTGCTGTGCTCTGTGTTTGCAGGCAGTGACACCACGCTGCTGCAGGGGAACGGGGGCATAGCAGCAGCAGAGCTGCAGCCCACGCTGAACGGCTACACGTGCAGTGACTGCAGCATGCTGTCAGAGAGGAAGGAGGTCCTCACTGCCTACTCACCTTCCCACGTGCCATCCTCCAGGATCTACAGTAGGGACAGGAGCCAGAAACATGCAGCTAGTAAGTTACTTTCTCTTGTGTTTGATTTCTACAGTGTTATTTAAGTATCTGTCTGACCCTGATGAACTTGTCAATAACTGAATTCTAGAGATCAGCTGTTATATGAAATACCTTTTTCTGCATCAGTTGAAATTTTATGTACTTGTTTATGATTCTGATACATGGTAATCTACTGATTTTCAGTGTTGCTGTAGGAATCAAACAACTACAAAATTCAAATGCCCTAGTATCTTAAATTATAAAATTATTTGGCCAGCCAGTACTGATTGTAAGTCTCCTAATCTGACAGATCTGTGTGGCTCTGCCTGTGAAATATTTGGTCATGGTTTCCAGATGCAAACTTTCTATGCTTTTTGGTTTACAATTTTTTATCTCTTATGTGATTTGAACTTTCAAGGTTGAGCAGAATTGTTACTTTGCACTGCTTGTGTTATCAAGGGAGTCTCTGAGAGGCCTTTCTACTTTCTGCTTCCTTCTTTCCTCCTCTTTTAACCTTGCAGCTTTTTATAGTGTTTCTAAAAGCTAAACATCAACTACATGAAAAATTGAGCTCCAAAAGGAAGAACTGATTCCAAATAGTCACTCTAGTGACTGCATTCGTAAAGCTTGAAAAATTGAGTCTGTATAAATGAGATTCTGCCTTTCCAAGACAATCTCCATTCAGTGGATTGTTTTCCTCATTGTCTTGCCCATGTCTGCCTGCTTCTTGCACCTGGAGTTTCATGAGTACTGGTAGTCCTCAGTTACCACAAAGAATTTGTTTCCTTAATGACCTTGAATTAGAAAGAAGCCAATTGTGGAATTTTATAGGCTTGTTAAGTCTTGAATGAAGTTTGTTTTCAGTACAAGAAAAATAAATTAGTCTGTTTGAGCTATATGATATGACTTCAAATACTTAAGTATTTCTTTTTAGTTAGTGTGTAGCACAGGGTGGAATTCTTTTGACTTGAACAGTCAACTACATAAGTGGCACTGCATGAAAACTCTTTCTGTACTTCTGAGTTTGTATTCACGCAAGATTTTTCCTCATCTTTGTGCATTCCTTTGAACTTTAATCTAGGGGTTTGAGTCAAACTTTGGGGATGTGTGGGTGGGGAAAGTCATGGCAGATTTTTGGGATGTGGCTGAGTCTGGGACAGTGGCAGTGGTGGATTTTGGCTTTGTTCTGTGGCTCTGGAGAGGGGTGTGTCTTTAGCACTTCAGGCAGACTTCTGTAGGAACTTCCTCTGACGTAACAGCAGGGAAGATGGTGAGCAGTCCTCACTCCTTCAAATCCAGAATAACGCTGTAGTGTCTCTTTGGAACTGTGTCCCCAAAATCAGGATCAGCAGTTCACGTCAGTGAGGAATCCTGAGTTCCAGAAGCAAGGAATTCATTGCTCTTTGGAGTTCTGCAGTCTCACTAAGCAAAGCTGTTCTTGCTGAAGTTGTACATTTTTGCCTTGAAGTCATTATCCAGGGTGTGTAGTTCTCACAAAAGCTTTCATGCAATATCTAATACACCCAGACTTTTCAAACCACACTTTCTGAAGTTTCATACTCTTGGCTAAACAAAGGCTTTCCTTGTTTTGTCCTCACTCTTACACAAGCTAATGGTGACCAGAGAGCAGAAGTACATATTTCTATGGATGAATAATTTGTATTCACACTGTTTTTTTCAATAGGAGGAACATATTTCTACATGAGTAAGATTCTACGATTGGTCAAAAATACTGCAGCATCTTTTGCATCACTATTAGTGCAACTATTTCAAATGGTTTTGCTGAAGCTGGGTTATGAATATAAAGGTACCATTTCAGTTGTCTTCCTTGGTCTGCAAACAAAGACAGAGTGTGTGTATTGGTTTTTTTTTCTTATGGACTTCATCTTTGGCACTATGGTGTTCTTTAGTCTTTTGGCTGGCTTGTCTTTCTCAGTTTTTGTTTCACTTGTGCTACACTTCTCATACCTTTACTATTTTGAAAGTATCAAGATTCCCTTATATGAGATCCAGATGTTGATTTTATTAGAAAGTGGTAGAGAATAATTTTTGAATTGAGAAACTTGTGTTGATTTTTAAAAATTGTAGTGATAGTATCAAATTCTAATTTTTCAATGCCTTTCATTCTCTCTTATCACCCTTAAACCTGCTGTGCACTCAAAGCTCATTTAGATCTGTCTTGCAAAACTCAGACACTTGCTCTCATCACTCTGCACTACTTTAGAGCACATCCTGTTTTCCCTGAAAATATTTATTTCTTCTTTGGTGCTTTCTCTTCTATAATACCTGCTCTACAAGTGACGTTAAATTGCCATAGGCAGAAGGGAACTGATTTTTGCATGTGAGTAGAACTTTGCTCTCCTCCTTCTCTCTGCTCAGAGCCTTATAATTCCTAATGCTTTCTTCTCCTTCTTGTAACAAGCTTGTTAAAATCAGCACAAATATGTAATGAATTGCTGACCCATTTGATAGAATGTTGGGAACAGGGACTTCGTGATGAGGGGTTGTTTGTTTGTTGAGGTTTTTTTTACAAATTTTGCTATCTGAAAAGAAGCAGAAGGATTTTTTTTTTTTAACTAAGAGCCCCCCTGATATTCAAAGAAGAAAGAACAAGATTACACAGAGTAGGCTTCTTCCTCAATACTTTTTCAGGTTTCCTTAGAGTAATCTGACTTTAATAGTGAACCAAGCCAGTTTAGCTGAAATCTGTCTATTAAAGGCTTTGAATTTGGTAATTAGAATCTGTGTGCTTTTTGGATGTGTTGCAGCTCACTCAGACTACTGTGGAAGCATGAATGTAAAGGAGTTCTACAGAGAAGATCGTCACCTTGGTGTGAATGAGGAATCAATATGTAAGTATAGTGATTGATGTAGTCTGTCCTGGGCTCTACACAGGTTGTTGCTGTAATAGTAGTATCAAATTCCCCCTTCCACAACACTGTGGAAGCTACAAAGTAAATGTTTGGTTTGCAACTTAAATGTGGGGGGGATGGTGATCCCCTGGTATACTGTAGTATTTCCCCCAGCAAGTTTCCTTCTCTGAAGTTTGCTTAGCAGTTTTTGGGTTGATAACTGATGATGTGAGATAGACTTGTCCAAGTTATCTTGTAACAGATCTTGACTTGATCCTGGCTTTATCCCATTAATCAACTGTTACCACAACCAACAGGTGATGACTGTAAAGGGAAGAAACATCTTGAAATGTACACCACAGACCACATGCAGTCCTCATGGGCTAAAAGGGTAGCAAGGACCATTTGGCACACCTTTTCTTCTGCAGGTTGACTTGGATATTTTTGTTTGCTTTTATCTTGCATCGCAGTCTCGCAGTGTTAATCACATATGTTTTGTGTTTGGGCTTTTTTTCCTTCCTTCATCTATCAAAGTAGGGTAGAAATGTAAAGTGCCTAGACAACTAACTTCCTTAACACCTCTTCTGTCTGAATTCTTGCTCTGATTTTGGTTTTTTTACAAGCTTGGCAGGCTGCTTACCTAGTGAAATCAAGGTGTAGGGTAATGTGCACCTCATATGTTAGAAGGAACAAGTCAAATTAATTTATTGCACTTTGGGGAGATCTGTATGCTTGCTAGGTTGAAAAGCTGACTTTAAATGAAAGCAAGGTATGAGGTACTGGTATGCAGATTATTTGAATAAAGGGGTTTTAACATTTTATTTTTGTTCTAGTGATAGTCAGTTTTTACAGGAATCTTATATAGGGATAGAATCTACCCTGTGAGAGTGCGTTCTCTAGCTTGAATGACAGAGGCATAAAGGATCTGTTGAGTGCTCTTTATTCCACAAAGGAAAATGATTTGAGACACTTCAGTCACCTAAATGATTTGCAAAACATTGGGTTGGTATATCTATGATCCCTCAGATTAACCCAGACATATCTGCTAATCTAAGAATGTAGGATTATTTTCTAAACATATATGGTGTAGTTTGTTCTGTAGAAAGATTGGTCCTGGTCTTGGACATAGTATTTGTTGGCCTCAGCAGGCTTTAAGTTACAGCATTTTATTACAGTGCATTGGATGGGGAGGTTGGTGGTAGTTTTGTTCTCTTTAAGAGATACAGAACTGTCCTACTGAACATCCTTGGGAACACTCAGCTTAATGTAAATTTACTGCTTGCAACCTTTAAGTGGGAATACTTTCTATTATTTATCAATATTTCTTAGACATCACTGGAATTTTAAGTTTTTAATTGTTCTCGCTTCTGCACATTAACCCAGATAATGAACTTCATGTATAATTTTGGACAAATAAGATGCTTTTAAAGTAATGATGTGCTTAAAGCTTGTTTTTGTGGTAGTACTCTTGCTATTCTCTGCTACACTTTGCATGGCATTGTTAGATAAACATATTACAAAATGTAAACTTTGATTTGGGAAAAGTGATATTCTAACTGCACAGGTGGTGTTCAGTCTGTTTATCTCTGTCCATGAGAATTCAGTTTCTAAACTGTCTTGGTTTTACTTGACTTCATATTTATTAGTGGCTTGCTTTGCTTTAAAGTAGTGAAGAACCAAGTTTGAGATTACTGAAAGGTACGGTTTAAAATTCTGCAGAACATGTGATGGGCAGGGGACTGAGTCTGTTTCACTGCATGTACTGAAGAGACCTCCAGCTCCTCTGTGTGTGTTACCACATGGAGTTCATTTGTTGTAATCCAGGTTACTTTATGCTTCACGTGTTGCGAACAGCGGGAGCGACCGGATGGCTTGTGTCGCAGAAGGTGTTGTCTCTACTTTGGCTGGCCATTCTCTCTCCAGGTTACTATTCTAATCTGTGTGTGTGTGTGCATTGCCTGTTCCTTTTGGCAAATTAGGGGACTGCAGGGGCTTACACTAATTCAGCTGTGCTTATGCTATAGCTTTTGTGTCTTGAAATGCATGTGCTGCTTTATTGACCAAAATATGCTTCATGAGAGGGTTTCTGTGTTTCTGTTCACAGGCATTACAGGAGACTGACCAGAGGGAATGAGTGTGTGAATATGGGGTGTCAAGAATAATGGGGTGTGTTTGGTTTGGCAGTCAATTGCTGTATTGGTATTCCTTTTACCAAAAACTGCTGCTGCTAATCTGTTTTTCCTGGAGCATACTGAGGTCTCCAGTGTGTGATAAGTTGTGCTCAGGCATTAATACTGAATTTCCAGTGAGGTAGCGTTGTCATAACAAATGAGCATTTTATCTCTTTGCATGGCTGTTTACCTTGTTGAGTAGCTGTTGTTGCAATGCTGTCATACTTGTGGTATCTAGATGTCAATATGCTTTATGCATTGCCTTATTCATGCATTTCTCCAGTCTGCAAAGCATTGTTGGCCACAGCTGCATGTCCCTCTGCTTGGTTTCTTTGAACATGTGCTGCAGTTATTACATTTCACACTCCCACCTTTTGTCTTCTAGGGAGGGCAGCTTCTGGCATGTTCAGGTTGCTTAGAACTGGGTGGTATCAACTTGTTACTCTGATGTCTTTGCTCAAGGTGTTTCTTGTAAGAAGGTGTGTATCCTTTGAAATAATTGTTTTGTGAGCAAGTTATTTACCCAGTTATAATATAAATCAATTAATTATGGTAAGTATGTTCTTTCTTGTAAACTGTCCTCTCTTTCTCTAGATGCCTTCCAAAGAACTACAGGTGGTTACTGTTTCTTATCCCACTCCTGTTTCTACTAGGTATGTCAATTGTTCCCTTGTAATACAAATCAGTGTGTGTACTACAGCTGCTCCAAAATAGCATTTTGAGTTGATTTATGAAGAAGATGTAGAACTGAAAAAGAGCAAGTTTGTTTGTGAACAGGGCAGTAATTCAAGCTTCCAGGGTACTGACAAGTCAGCAAGCTTTCCCCTTGTCACAAAAGCAATATCCTTGATTTAATTGCATAGAGCTCTTTAGAAAAAGTGGCTGAGAAAGTAAATGCACTGGAGTCCTTTTTTTCTTTACCTCCCTTCATTGGAGTAGCAGTGAAAGAGTAGGCTGGGTAGTTATTGCTTTGTCAGTCTCTATAGAAGTGTGGTTAAGTTTTTACCAACTCATCCAAAGTCTTTCCTTTGCTCTAGACCCTGCTTTAGTTGCTTAAGATACTGCTGACTTTAGAGTGGTTAGTAGACAGTATTCCAGCCAGCTGTCAACTGAAATGAAACACATTGAAGTACTTACCAGAAGTGCTGGGCCACTTCTGAAAAGCAGATTCATGTCTTTATGACTCTTAAAAACTTGCAGCTCTTTTGTGGAGAAGATGAAGCTTCTTGGAAAATTACAGTGGGGATTCAAAGTCCTTTGTATAAGGGTGGAAAAAGAAAGAATTTACCCTGTGTAGAAAATGCTGCTACTTCCCACTAAGATATTGCCAAAATAAGTGTAATCTCGTGAAATGCTGTTTTATTTCTACAGAAGCCTAAGTTTCTTCCAATTTTTATTAGCTCTTATGCAACATGATATGTAGTAAGTGTATCATGCAACATGTTTTCCATGGAGATAAAGAGGAGCATTTACATCTGCCTTCAGAAAATGTGGCCTGTCTTAATCAGCAAAGGTGACCAAGGTGCCTGGGAAGCAGTAGTATGAGTTTAGGCTTGTACCATGATACATAGAAGTGCAAGCTGCCTGTCTCACAACTATGTGAGTGGCACTGATGGATGTTCCCTAATATTCTTGAGTGCTTGATTTAAGAATTTTAAAGCCGGCTCATGGTGATGTTTGTTTAAACTGGAGCAGTGTCCATTGTGTGGCACCTGCCTTGCAAACTGAAGGTAGCTGTGTCCTTCAGAAGACCATTTGTAGGTATAAGCAGTTGGAATGGAGAATTCTTTTGAGCACATGTTGCTTTTTGTTTCTGTTCTAGGTTTGTGGTTCTGGGGGCTTAATAGCTTCATTTCATTATTACCTCCATTGAACTGGACAAGAATTGGCAGAATACAGAGAGCAGATGATTCTGTTTGTGTTTCTGAACCACAAGATGATACTTTTCATTCTGTGCAACCTCCAAAGGTAAGGGAGAACAGTCTAGGGAAGAACTTGCATATATTTTAAGGTCTCTTAACTTTCATGTCTTCAGTATTTTGCAGTAGCTGCTTGTTGCACAACAGTAATGTAGATAAATTGATTTTTATATATTGAAGCATTATCTTTCTATTTTAGGATACCATAAGTATCTTTGACTTTGGTCGTATAAGTGAGCTGGAAAAGCAAATGGCCTTCGTGTCTGACAGATGCCATGACCGAAACAAAGAATACAACAAAGTGATGAGCCTACTCCAGAATCTTCAAGACCAGGTTGCCACGATGAGTGACAGAAGTGAAACATTGAATTTAATAAAAAATGTCATGAGTCAGTATCTTAAAGATATGAAATTGGAGGAGAAGGTAAGACAGTCAGTTATTGATGTTTCCTGATACAGACTGTTCTGTTTTATAAATGCAGATTGTGAGCGATTTGACTGGAGGATTCTTTTTCTGCTCTGGAAATAACCAATAAGTAGTAAGGATGAGGGAGTAGTTGTGGGCATTTGTTCCTCCTTTGTTATTGCTGACAAAGGATTCATTCCAGACAGGTGGCCTAAAGTAGATTCCTACATTGCTGAAAAGCTGCTAGATTTGTCCTGTTTCTGTACTGATAAAGAAGACTATAGGAAGGACTAGTGACAAAGCAGGGATTTTGTGGTAAACTTCCCTGTATATAACCCCTACTGCAGCTAAATCAGACTTCTGTATTTATTACAGACTGTAATTTCTCACACTACTTGCAGGATAAATCACTTAAAGGTCCACAGAATGGAATGAAAAGTGTACTTTGCAGAAAATATCAATTACCAAAATACACCCCTTTTTTCTTCTCTGTTTTTTTAAGACTGACTTCCTGGCTTTACATAAAGAACATGAGGTGCGCATCCGGACACTGGAAGAACTTCTTAGAAAACTCTCAGCTGAATCCAAGGTATTGATAGTGAGCTTTGCTGACTTGTTCTGATTGTAACCTGTTGATAAAACACACTGACTTTTCCAAGCAACAGTTTCCTTTACTGTGGCATACACAGTTCCCTAAGTCTCAAAACTTGTTTGTATTTGGGTTCCCCCTTCTTGGAGAGGGTTACATTCATTCCAAAGTAACCCTCTGTATAACATTACCTCGTTATACAGAGGCACAAACACAATTGTGTGCGCAGTCCCATACGGGTGGTGCTAAAATTTGTTTTCATATAACATTCTTTATACTCTTTGTTTCACTTGAATTTCTTTGTATATGTTAAAACTTAACTTTTGTATTTTTTAGGACATCCAGAAGGAGTTTGACCTAGCCAAATCAAAATCAGTGAGGTATAAGCACTTTTCAAATACATTTTTCTTTTTCACTCCTAATGCCAACTGACAGTGATCCTTTTCTTATGTCAGTTAACAGACCCTGCAAGGTTGTATTGTCAGCAAGAGCACTTCTGTCTTGTACTGGATTTCAGCTGTGGTGCTGAACATCAGCACAGGACCCTACTTGAGTGTGGGGCAACGCTGCAACTACATTTTCATTAGAGAAAGCTATATAGGATAGGAGGATGAGGGACTTAGCATCCTCTTATAAATGCATTCGTTTTCCTTCAGATCACTTAGTGAAACATGCAGTGACTGCTTTTGATGGGCTTTGTATTTAAATTCTTGAACTGTATCAATTCTAATTTTTGTCTCTTTGCTTATTTGCTGAATTGCCATTTGAATTAGAACTAAATGTAAAATGGCTTTAGAATGATAGTTGAGATCTTTTTCAGTAGCATTCACTGGACACTGATCTGTATTGGTCATATATGAGTTGCCATTTGTAACTCAGCACTGCCTCTGCAGTTACTCTGGTTTGAGGTAGCCTGAGACTTACTCTGACCAATGACAAACTCACACAAAGTTTGACTGGTTTGCCAGAAGCCCTTAAATTCCCCCAACTCTCTATATGTTTGAATTATTAACTTGTCAGCCTGGTGATAATCTGAAGTCGTCACAGCTGGATCTTTCCATTACTTCAAAATACTTTGAATATATTAATTCTAAGTATGCCTTAAGTAACAATATGTTAGAAGTTCAAGTTCTCTGTGTGTATGTGGTGAACAATTGAACTAGAAGAACACTTTGTATTAGACAAGTATATTCTCACACCTTTGGAATTTGATGGAATGATTCCAGCTATTCTTTCCTAACAATTGACTCCTTGTTTTTGTCAGAGATGATGATCAATACAGTCTACTTATGTCCAAAATTAAAAACCTAGAACTAGAGCTGGCATCTATGAAATCAGAGCTGGTATCTGGCGAAAGTGCGAAGATGAGTTGTGAGAAAATGGATGTCATTCATGAAAAAGTAGGTTCAGCAACTTCTCTAACTGTCCCAGTAAAATTTGATACTACTTGGGTTTGTTCACTAACTTTCTTGAAATGCACTGCAGTCGGTAACATGGGGGTGGTACTAATATTGAAGAATGACAGTGTTGTATGTAGGGTTACTGTGAATTTTTCCATTAGTGAATAACACTACTAGAGAGGAGTTTATTGCTTGTTTTCTACAATGGCAGGGGTTTGCTTGGAAGTTATGACATAGTAGCAGTTCTCTGCACAGTACTTCGTTTATGTATTTTGCTAACCCGTGGAAATACAGAAAAGAAACTCATGTGAAAGCAAATTTGATTGGTTATCTGAGAATTAGTTCTAAAAAATCCTGCCTAAGTTCTTTCGAAGCCTTTTAAGAGGTCTGACTGGAATGCAGCCAACAAAATACAACAATACTGAGATGGGATTATCAACTTAAATAATGACTTGTGATAAAGGTCTGGCTGTGTGCCTGTTGCATATTTTTATATATATATATTTATAAAAACTAATAATTATAATTATTAATGGCTTCTATTAGGTAGATGCCCAGGTGAAGGAATCTGTCAAGCTAATGCTTTTTGGTGATCAACAAGAAGACTTGCCTGAATCACTTCTCCAGTGGCTTACTTCCAATTTTGTGAGCAAAAGTGACCTACAGACTTTGCTGCGGGATCTTGAGTTGCAGATCCTCAAAAATATTACTCTCCATACGTCTGTAACAAACCAAAAAGTAACATCTGAAGTAGTTACAAATGCTGTGACTAATGCAGGGATTTCTGGAATTACAGAAGCGGTGAGTGATTTTAAGGTCTCAAAAGTTCAACTGAAACTGGAGAGAGTTTTTTCATGGGCATTTTGTGGAGCATGACTGTCAACATAAATGTTAATGATTTTAGGAGATGTCAGGAATATCAGCTGAAATGAGGAGAACAGCAGAAAATGCTTTATTGAGTGTATTCTTGCAGTGTCGATTGTTGCCTGTTGTCAACACTTGTGTTTTTTTTGAAGTGTGCTATCTTGAAAATTGAATTCCCAAAAAACAAGTACACGAAAGAAATGCAGCTCAGGGCCTTGGGAAGAAGGAATGCAAATTAAAAAAAAAAAAAAACCAAAAAAAAAAAAAAAACCCCAAAAAAACCCAAACAAACAACCCTCAGTCAATTTTCAGTATGAACTTGTATTTTAAGACAGAGAGCCATCCATTAAAAATGGCCTCTGTCTTGACAGAGGCTTTCAAGGACTTGTGATGAAGTGCAGCATCTCAAAAAGATGCTTGCAACTTCACAGATATGTAAATATCAATTATTTTATTGCTTGATCTTATTGAAATATTTTTCCTTCCATTCTCTTGTATATGTACACCTCTAGCAAGCACAGATTATTGTAAATAATGCACTGAAACTCTACTCTCAAGACAAGACTGGGATGGTGGATTTTGCCTTGGAATCTGGAGGTAAGTAGTAGAGGAAACACCATTTTACTATTCATGCTTTTAGTAGTATTTACTAGAAATATTAAAAGGAAGAGTAAAGCTTAGTAGAGCAATTTTATGTGTTGCCTGATCATCAGATCATTGCAATCTGTGATGGTGTTTACAGGCCTGTACATCAGCCTAGGTGTGCATGGACATGAATAGAATAGTTCTCAATATGTCTACAACTGGATAAGAAAGAAATGAAAAACCTTTAACCTGTTCTTAAAATAACATTTAATCTGATAGAAACATTGTATCACAGAAAATTATTAGATCTTCACAATATCTTTTATCTGTTATTCATTAAGCTTTATATAAATCTCTGCCTTAATTGCTCACTCCTTCTTGAAGACTTCTATTTCTGCTCACCTTGATCTGTCTTTTTTGAGGTGGCAGCATTCTGAGTACTCGCTGTTCTGAAACCTATGAGACCAAGACAGCATTAATTAGCCTCTTTGGAATTCCTCTGTGGTACTTCTCTCAGTCTCCCAGAGTGGTGATTCAGGTAATTAAAGGCCAAGTAAACAAATGCAGCAGTGTTATTTTGTGTGGCGTGGTTTGGGTGGCTCTTTGGGTGCTGGGTGTATCTCTGTAGTATATTGGGGCACAGGTACTTGGAGCTGTGTTCCCAAGAGTGGGATTGTTCTGGCAGTCCCTGGACACAGCTTAAGTCCTAGTCTATCAAAACTGAGAGTCACAGGAAGCTTGGGTGGTGCACTGGGCTTGTGCAAAGTGGGAGGGCTGGGAGGGTTCCTGTTGAGAACTAATCTCAAGGCAGGTCTTCAAAACACCGCTGGTGGCTCAGGAGGGTGATGCCTTCCTGAAGAGTTCCACCAAGGAGATTATTTCTGCACCTTACTGTTTAAGACTGACCCTAAGAACACAGAATTCATTACAACTCATTATTACAACAAAAATAAACTAGAAAACATTGCAACATTGTTTCTATTGTTGTGTCCCATCTTGTTCTCTCCACCTTCCTTCTGTGCAGCCGGACATGTATCCAGGGAACTGCTGGGCTTTCAAAGGATCACAGGGCTATCTTGTGGTGAGACTCTCCATGAAGATCTATCCAACTGCCTTCACATTGGAGCACATACCAAAAACTCTTTCACCAACAGGAAATATCACCAGTGCTCCTAGGAATTTTGCAGTATATGTAAGTGTGTCTCTGAATTTAAGTTGATGTTTGTACACAGAATATTTGTGTTACATACCTTGGAGAAGAGTAACTTGAGGAAGGACAGCTAAAATGATGATAAACTGTTTCACTCATTGCTCTTAAAAATTGCTTTTATTTGTGAGCTTTGAGATTATAAATAAGAAGTGTTGCAACTAATTTTGGGTGAGCTGTTTCTTTACTCTTGCTCTATACAGTAGTAAACACTTCTGGAGGGAGATGTTTTTTTATTTGATCTAGTTTTTTCATACACTTTGTTTCATCCTCCTTCCCATTCTTCCTCTCTCCACCCACTATCCCTCCTATTTTGTCTCTGCACCTTATCTGTGATGTGCCTTAAATAATTTTTTTAGTTCACTTTACCCAGCTACCACAGTTGTGTAGGCAGGACTTTGGAACAGAACAGACCACAGGGTATATCAGAGAACAGTTACAATATCTGAGAACTTTTTGTCAGGTTTTTCTAAATGCTTCAACAGTCAACTGCAAGCATATGAATCTTGACTTCAACCTTGATGTTTTCTCACTGTTTGTCCTGAGCAGTTTATATTGTGCAGTGTGATATGGGTTTAGCCATGAAAACTAAAGGATTTGACCATGGGAACACATAAACAGCTCAACTATTTACAGGGCAGGAAACTGGAATACAAAGCTGTACTTGAACTTTAAATTACATGGGAAACATTCTGATCCTGGCTTTATAGACCTTCAGGTGCTGTCTCTTGATACTCTGTGTAGGCATGCTTCTAGTTTGGGTTGGATTGGAAATCTGATGGAAGCAAAAATCCTTATGCTGTTGTTACAGGGTCTGGATGATGAATATCAGGAAGAAGGCAAACTTCTAGGAGAGTATGTCTATGATCAAGATGGAGAACCACTGCAGATGTTTCCAGTGATGGTAAGTCTGGGCTGTAAGATTTAAAGTGTCAGGAGAAACCTACTTTTATTTTCTACACTTGTGTGCAATGCGTAGTGAAGGGAAAAGCCTTGTTCTCATGTGGGCACTGTAGAAGCTTAGGTAGAAAGTATCTGCCTCTGCCTCAAACCTGTGGCCTAAATAGATGAGAGTGGAGGAAGGTTTGTTGCTGTGTGAACACAAATGGGGGGGAAGTTGCTAAACATGGGAAGAGTCTGTTCCATGCTGCTTCAGACTCACGAATAATTGTAAGGCAAGGGAGGTTCTGTTCAAAGGAACAGAAAATTCCCAAGGCATAGCTTAGGTTCCTGCAAGTACCAACAGTCATTAATAACTAAGAAGGCTTCAGTTGCAGCTGTTTGTGCCAGAACCCTGACACTGGCTTGTGTTTGCTTTTTCCTTCTCCAGGAGAAAAATGAAGACGCATTCCAAATAGTGGAGCTGAGGATTTTCTCTAACTGGGGCCACGCAGAGTACACGTGCCTTTATCGGTTCAGAGTGCACGGGAAACCTGCCGAGTAATCCACACTACAGCTGGGGGTGGCTGCTTTGTACATTTTGTTCCTAATCTGTATATACTGGGAAGCCTACAACACTGGAATCTGTAAAGGACGAGGATGCAAGATGCACACTGCAGAGCTGTTGATCCTCTGATAAAGGCAGAAGACTGTCAGCAGAAATGTATAAACCCCAATTTTTATTTGCTCTAAGGCTCAGCTTGTAATTGCCAGCTCGCTTCATATTTCTGTGTCCATGCTGAGAGAAATAATGCATGCAAACAGCTCTGGTTCATAAAGCCCAGTTGGCAAACAGGTGACACACGTTTTATTACAAATGAATGTATAGGTTTTTTAAAAAGAATAAACCACACTTTCTGCAACTAGGAATCTGTTCTTTTTTAATCCAGGACTTAACTGCATACTTTTGCTAGCTTGGCACCATAAGCCAAAAACTGTGGTACATTTTGAACACTGACTGTGGCTAAAGGTGTCCTTCAGTTGACAGTTGGTTTTAACCTTTTTGGTGGATCCAAAAGGGCTTCTTTGCTACATGTTGAATATAATAAATACTACTGTCAGGGAAAGCTAACACAACCAAAACCAGTTGAAACACCAGCGACTGAGAATGCTTTACTGTAATTTGTGACCGCGAATTGCTCTAAAAGTCAGGGATAACTTTAAGTAACTGAAGTTATTTAAGGGTTTTTACCATGGCAACTTGGCCAGTTTGTTCTTTTTTTAGTGTCAATCCCAAATCGACCTTGATGTACTGACTGACTGGCTCAGAGCTGATAAGCCTGCTGAATTGCTCAGTAAACACTGCTGTACAGCAGTTGCACTACCTTAGTTTGTCCAAAGTGATCTCTTTGGGACAGGATTTCCTTAGACTGATTGATTGTTTACTCCATAAATATACTGTGAGAATTCAGTGTGTGGAAAACAAGCCTGAAGTAATTCTCGCTGCGTCACATTTACCAGAGGGACTCGAGCTCAGTGCTGCTGTTGCAAACACGGGCATTCCTGATCCTCCTCACAAGCCTTAGTCGGGTACCAGATGAGTAGAGTTGCTCTTGGAAACAACATTTTCACATAGAACGAGGTGAAACTGCTTATTGCCCCCCTTAGCCTTGCTGCTTTGAAGATCCTTTTCGGAAGAGATTCCTGAAATTCACTTGTTCGCAGAATTTTTATCTTGCTGTTCCTAGTGCATTTTGTAGTTACACAGAACTGTTACACATGGACCTGCTGACTGGTTTTCTGAATTGAGTTATGTATGTTGCACAACAGTCCTCGAATGTTTGAAATACAAAAAGTCTCCATGTGAAGAACTGTTTTTCACTCGACCTAGAGACAGAACCTATGGCCTACGCAGAGGAGTAGATGACACATGTACAGGTGTTTTCATATTATAGGTTACTTATTTAAAATTAGAATTATCCTGTATAAATTGAAATTAGGTAGCTGGGGGGGAATATTTTGAATAACACTAACTTATTTTTAAAAAAGCAAGATAGGACTTTGTGCAATGTATTTTTGTAAATGCTTTTCAAAATGTCTGTTATTCTTTGCTGCCTCCAAACTGACAAGATGCTATTGAGATGTTTAAATAAAGAGTTTTAATTTTTGAAAGTGCATGTAATACTTGAAACAAGAAATAAAGCCTCTTTTCTGTTTGGGTTTTTTTTTTTTTTAATCAGCTGCTTAAATAAGTGAGGAACTATTGAGATTCCAATGTCCCGAGCTGGGGCAGGGGTGGGGGGATTTCACTCAGGCTTCACAAGGGCCAGGGCCACAAAGCTCTAAGGGCAGGCCCAGGAGCAGCGTGGGGCTGGTGGGTGACACGAGGGTGGGGACGGGAAAAGCACAGCTGCCTTTTTCCTTCTCCAGGAGAAAATGCTTCATTGCTGGATCCCTTCCAGCTCCGTGCGGGGACTTGCTTTAACTCCTGTGCCCTCAGCCTTGCCTGGCTCCCTGTGCCACAGCACGCTCAGCCAGGCTCATTGCCCGCGCTCCAGCAGCCGTTCCTTGGTTTTTGTTAGTTTTTTAAGTTATCCCGCGGTCTCCTGCGCTGTTGTGGCTCCAGGGCCGGCCGTGCCCCGCTCGAGTCCCGGGCTTCCCCTCACGCCGTTCTCCGCCGCCGTTACCGCTCGGGACGCCGCGCGCAGCCGCGCGGGCTGAGCCTCGCGGGCCGCCGTCCGAACGGGCGGAAGCCGGGCAGCGGGGCGCCGGAGCTGCGTGCGCACGCGCCTGGCTTCCACCTCCCCTCCCCGTCCTCCGCGCTGATGGCGGCGGCGATCATGGCGGCGGAGCAGGAAGCCGCGAAAGGCGCCGGCGGCAGGAACCGCGGCGGCGTGCAGCGCGTGGAGGGCAAGCTGCGCGCCAGCGTCGAGAAGGGCGACTACTACGAGGCGCACCAGATGTACCGGACGCTGTTCTTCAGGTAGGGCCGCGCCGGGCCCGCCGCGCCTCCCCTCCCCCGCCCGGCCTTCCAGAGCCTTCCCACGCACTCTCCCCCGCTGCCGCCCGCCGCGCCCACGGCCGCTCCCCATTGGCCGCGGCGCCTGTCCATCTCTGCGTCCTGTTCTCTGATTGGTCCGCAGGGGGGCGGGGTGGGGCGGGCGCGCGGCGCCGGCCCAAGCGGGGCCCGGACCGGGCCGGACCGGGGAGCGGCGGCCGCAGGCTCGGTTCGGCCCGAGCCGCTGCTCGCCGGCCTTTGGAGGCCAACCCCGAGCCCGGCCCGGTCCGCGCCCCGCCGGCCCGGGCACTGTCCGGTGACGCGCCGCGGGTGTTGCGTCACGCTGCCCTGAGGTCACGGGCAGAGCGGAGCTTCGGCCCCCGTCCCCCAGCGCCGCTCGCTGTCCCCGCGTTCCGGCCGGGCCGAGTGAGGCCCCCCGGCCAGCGGGATGGGCTCGGGCTGTCTCCCCGGGCGTCCCCTGCTCTCGGGTCGGGGCTCGCCCCGTGTCCCGGGGCCGTCCTGGAGCTGAGCCCTGCGCGGCCGCTGCTCTGCCAGCTCCGGGTAAATGTCAGGTGCCTGCCTGCGCCGTGAGGGTTTCGGGGTTGTTGCTCCGCCGGGACACGGGGTTACTTCGTTTCACGGCACGGTCACCCTGGAGCCGCGGTCGGAAAGGGGCAGCTCTCAGCGCGGCCGGGATCGCCTGCACCGAGGAGCTTTTTGGAATAAATCCCGCTTGGTGTAGTGTTTGTGTACGTGACAGTGACTAAGTAGAGCAGGCCTGGGCGTTTATTCAGAAATGCTACTACTGCCTCTTTTGTCATGAGGAGATTGTTTTTATTGCCAAACATTTTTAGGCTTCATTTTTCACGTCCAGTGCAGCTTGCAGGGGTCACCCTTTCTCTCATCACGTTTTAACATGGAGACCCTTGCTTGCAGGAGCACAGAAGAAGGTGTTTGTTCTAGGGGCTTCCTCAGCTGGTCCCAGCTTTGTTTACTTGTGGTCATGCTGGGAGAAGACAGGATGGAAATTTGGCTTCAGTTAGGTTGGAAAATACCTCTGATGTCATCAGGTCCAACTTTTGGCTTTGATCACCTGTCAGCTGGACAGCGCCACATCTGGCTGTTTCTTGAACCCTTCTAGGAATCGTGACTCCACCACCTCCCTGGGCCCAGTTCCAATGCTTGACCACCCCTTCTGTAAACAGATTTCTCCCAATGTCTGACCTGAACCTCCTGTTAAAGCCATTTAATGTCATCCTGTCACTGGCTGCCTGGCAGAGGAGCACCTGGCTCCAGCCTCCTTTCAGATGTTGTAGAGAGAAGGGTCCCCCCTGAGCCTCCTTGTGTCCCAGCTGGATCCTACCTCAGCTCCATTGCCCTTCTCTGGCCACGTTCCAGCCTCTCAGTGTCTTTCTTGAAGTGAGAGGTCCAAAACTGGACACCACCCTCCCTGTCCTGTGTCTCCTATCCTCATCCCTCATCAGTGTTAGGAGGAGAACAGGTCTATGAGTAAGCACAGAAAAATAGCAGTCATGGAAGAAAGTGGGGAGGAAAGACCTTGGTGCATAATCCTGCTTGTGCTCCCAGCATACATCACACAGCCTGCCCTGCCCTGTGTCCAGCACCATCACATTAAATCACTTTGTTCTTCCATAACCCCTCTGATGGGATCAGCCAGGCACCATCCAGGCCTTAAGACTTAAATTGTATTTGAGAATAAATCTAAATTTAAGACAAAGCCTGGCCTATTTTATAGTAGGGATTATGTGATGTGGTGTCTGCAGCGGTGTGAGAAGTCTTGGCTCAGGAGGTCACTTCTCCAGTCTTCTGGATGTATTAACTCACATACTCAAGCCTCCCTGAATTAATTTGGAATCAAAGGTCCTGCCTTTTCCATTTTAAATACAAGTGAAAGGATGTGTTCAGTTAAATGAAGAGATGACATTTGCATGGCTGGGTAGTCTTGTCAATCTTCTGTAAAATGTGATAAAAATCAGCATTTTTTCAGGCACATTAATGCTGATTGGGATGACCTGAGCTCTGGAACTGTGATTGGGTTAGCCAGTGCTTATTCCTTTAAACACATGGGCCTGTAAAAGATTTGTCTCATCTGTCAGAGGGTAAACTTGAAATACTGACTCAGTTTCATGCACTGAGCTGTATTTTAGGGTGGAGGAGGGGAAGAAGTGGAGGAGGAAAGATTACCATAAGCCTGCCTCCTGCAGAGTTATTATCCCTCCGTGATCCACAGAGCAGGTGGAAAACTGCTGTTCCTGCCTAACCCTGAGCTCCCTCAGACACACCTGAGCTGGTGGTGTTTGTTACTCCCCAGGCTGGCTGGGCTGAGCTCTTCTCTCTCCATGATTTGGTAACTGAGTCACTCTTCAAAGTGTAATATCCTTGTTACATCCATTTCTATTTCACTGATACTTTTAGGTCATTCTTCTGGTGTAAATAATGTGTTCCAGGACTTCTCTTGTTTTAAATACCATTTAGAGAAATGTCATATTTATTTTTATTAAACAAATTTTCTGATAAAAGTTCTTTGAAAAACCTCAGCTGTTTGTATTTTATATCATAAAATTGTTTTCAGCAGCTTTTAGTATCATCTGTAACAATTCTCAGATTAGGAGTTTCCATATAGCATTCTGAATCTACTGGAAGTAGAATTTGTGGAAGTGGATCCATGCTGAGTCCAACTCCTAGAAGCAAACCTGGCTGGGAGCCCAGCTATAAAAACGTTGGAGCTACAGATTCATTTACCATGGTGATTGCAAACCCGAGTTGCTGAGAATTATTCTAAAACACTGCCATTGTGCCTTCCATTATTTCAGTGCTGTTTTGGATAAAATACCTTGCTGTTTCTCAGAGTTGATGAGCAGGATGGGAGGAGTCTCCTCCCTTTTTTGTTTTCTGTGTGATGTTACCAGTAGAGGACACGTGTGACAGGAATCTGGGGCACAGCACAAGAGGTTTGGGATGCTCTGCTTGTCCCTTTGGTTGGTGTGACCCCCTTGGCCACACTGTCTACTGCACCCCCAGAACCACCAACCCCTCTGTTACCCCACGGGCCCTCTTGGGCTTTGGAACAGCCTGAGGGGCCCTGGGGTTCAGGAGCAGGGGGGCTGCCCTGAGCCCCAGGAGCAGACAGGGGTGACACAGAGGACAAACCAAAGTGCAGGTGCTAAAGCAGCAGGGTAGAGCTGACACTTACCTCTGTGATATGAGCACATCAGCTACTGAGAGCACAGACTTTCTGAGTAGCAGTTGAGAGAAATGGAATTTGGAAACTCCGCCACACCTAAACTGCCTTTATGGGAAATGCTGTGTCTGTAAGCTAGAGCTGGGACTCTCCAAGAGCTGTGGTTACTGACAGTGATGATGTGCAGGAGGCTGCAATCACAGCTCTGTGCTAAGAGTCCTGAGGTAACCACTGGGAGCAAATTCTTTAATTCCTTATTTCTTCATTACCTCTTAAGGGAGAAAGGTGGAAGGTGTGTTTTGAAGCATTACATTGTGTTTCTTTTCAAGTGTTGCATGGTGAATCTTGCTGACTGTGCTTATCTTACTCTCAAAGCCATGAGAGATGAGCTCCTTTGGCTCAGCAGAAGGCTAGGACAGGCTGATGTCCCCTGGCAGAGTTGTAGTGGTCAGAGAGAGCTGGACCAGTGGAAAGGTCAGTGAGCTTTCCAGGAGGTATTCCAAAAGTTGTTTCACTGGGATGGCTTTGGTAGAGGCTCAGTACATTGGCATCTTTTGCTCAGTTGAAATCTTGGGTTCATTCCCTTTTCTTGTTCCAGCCCCAAACATATTTGTAGCTCCCTCAATTTCCATTCTTATATTTGTTTTATTCCATCTGGTCTGGAGCAGAAAACTAATTGCAACTTGCAGTTCAAGCTACATCATTGTTGAAACTAACCTGATTTAAAAACAAATCCCTTGTTGTCATTATTTCAAAATGTAGCAACCTTTTAATCCTTTAAGTAACTTCAAGCATACGCAACTTACTTGGTGGTAATTTTTATTATGGCTTTGGTATTTTTTTCAGGTATATGTCACAAGGAAAACATGCAGAAGCAAGAGAACTAATGTATTCAGGGGCTTTACTGTTCTTCAGTCATAACCAGGTAAGTTGCTGGTGTTGTGTGTGGCTTGAGGGCAGGGAATTGTTATTCCCAAGATTTTGAGAAATGAATGGTGAGTTCCCAGTGGTAAATGTTTGGGGTAGTTGCTTTGTAATCTTTTGTTTTATCTCTTTGTTGAGCCTTTCTCCACAAAGAAGGATTATGCCAAGCTGGAACATGCAGCAGTAGTGTTTGTGAGCATCCAAACAATGCCTGTGTTCTGCTTTCCTGGAGGCCTCTCTTTGATGCCATCAAATTACTATAATTTTTTTATCAGGAAGGCTGAGACTTGATACTGTGCCCTAGCTGTTGATAAAAGCCTTAAACCTGCTGCTGCCAAAATGCTGGTTGATGTTTCTTTTTATGCCCTGATACATTCATCACTGCCAGTATGTGTCTGTTTTGTAGCAAAACAGTGCTGCTGATCTGTCCATGCTGGTTTTGGAGTCTTTGGAGAAGTCGGATGCAAAAGTAGCAGAAGACCTTTTAGGTGAGGTGACCTCTGTTCTTGGCTTGGTGGCATTTAGTTGTGCTTTCCCTTCACAGTGACTTGTTAATAGCCTTGAAAGCTGCAATCCTTTTTTGAATGCCTTCCCAGCATGGCTAAGGGTTACCTTCCCCATAGGAATGGACTGGGGGAAACTTTATTAGAGAATTGTGGGTTCCTGATGACTCTGTGGGCATGCTTGGAACTAAAACTGCTGCCTGTCCTTAAGATGGATCTTAGAACTGCATTAAAAGCAGCAGATTATCTCATTTTTCTTAATGCTAAATATTTTTCAATCTTATTGCTTCTAGAAAACTTGGCTAAATTGTTTAGTTTAATGGATCCAAATTCTCCTGAAAGAGTGGCTTTCGTGTCCAGAGCACTAAAATGGTCCAGTGGGGTATCAGGAAAACTTGGACATCCAAAACTACACCAGTTACTAGCTATTACCCTGTGGAAAGGTAAGAAAAATCAACTGGCTTTTCTGTGTTTTCCTTTGAAAATGTTGGAAGCAAAGTGTCATAAGAGATCTGCTTTGGGAATATCTAAAAAAGCTGAGATGGAAATGATTGATTGAGTTCTCCTATTACCTGATTTTTGCATTAGTGTCTTCCTAATGTTACAGAAAAAAAAATGGGTCTGTAGCTCTATATTAGTACAAAATCCAAAACACAGCTACTGTGAGGCTCTGTGTAAAAGGCAGGTTGATCTTTTAGACATTGAGGTACTTTGTGTCATTAGGAGGAAAATTGCTGGGGAGCAAAGCTGTTCTGTTGGCAAGTATTTTTGTTTTTAAATCTTGGATAAACATGACAAAGATTGAAATACATCACCTGGCATCCAAAACAGTCTTTGGACTGTAATTAAGTACTTTTTGAGAAGTTGGCCAGCAGGGTTATTTCAAAATGAATGCTGTTGCCTTTGATTTATGAGCCATTTTAGCACTTTTGATGGGATGTAAGAGAAACACAAAATGCTCTAAATAGTTATTGTACTTGTGGATGATAGCCAGTATTTACAGTCTTGTGTTCAAAACATTACAAAGGTGATTGAGAACAGTTGAATACATGCCATTTTTTCTGTGGTTTCTCATGGATAACTGTGCAAGATGATTGTTTATTTTACATTTTTCAGTAGCTGCCAAGTGTTGACAGTGGTTTCATGTAACAGCCCTGACCCAATAATGGTCAATGCTGCAGCCTCTCTGTGTGCCATAGGCAATTCCCTAGCTGCTCTCCTGAGATTTATGTTAGCCTGATGGCTGCTGCCGGCCAGAAAGGGAGGATTTTTCTCACTACATTCAAGTTAGAGGCTGCTACAATTAGGATAAGAAACAGTTGCATTCTGAAAGTCAAAGTCCCCATTTTGCAGCCGCTGGCTCACTGTTCTCTTGAAGAGCGAAATGCCTACATTTTCTTAATCTGTAGCTTTTTGAGTTTCATCACAAAAGGCTCAGATTTTTAAAAAAACAATGCTTTCAAATTCAAAATATTAGCAGCTGTATCCAGTTTTGTCATTGCTGTGATTTTACACAATCCTTTGCCTCAGGTTCTAAGAAATCATTGCCATTTCTTACACCATTTTTCCTGTATAATTGCTGTTCTGTTCAGCATATTGAAGTGATTTTAGTTTTGGTAGCAAGAGTGGGCTAAGCTAAAAATAGGAAATGAAAGAAGGATGGTGAAGGTGCTGTTTGACTTCTTGGTGCACTTGGTCTAATATGGAATTTCTTGATTCCTGTCCCAAACACTGGTGATAGCACATCAAGTGTCAGCATTCACTTAGGTAAAATGATACAGCCAAAGTTCAAGCCAGCAGTAGCTGTAATTGAGTAAACTGTATTTAATAGCAGTTGTTCAAATGTACTTAGAATAAAATTTATTATTATCTCCTTTTATAAATTATCTGAAACTTACAAACTTTTTACTAGCTGTCTTGTTTATATACCACACCTATAACTCTTGTTCTTTTACCAGCTAATAAAGTACAAACCTAATAAATTTGGTTTTATGTTCGGGTACGCTGAACTGATTTCTTAAAAGCCTTTTCCTTTTTCTTTTTCTAGAGCAAAACTATAGTGAATCTCGGTATCACTTCTTGCACTCGACAGATGGTGAGGGCTGTGCAAATATGCTGGTGGAATACTCCTCGTCCCGCGGATACCGCAGTGAGGTGGACATGTTTGTAGCTCAGGCAGTACTACAGTAGGTGTTAAACTTCTTCTGAAGCGTTCTGCTGAGATGACATTGTGTGTGGGACCAATCTAATTTAACCACACAGCCTTTGAAAAAGAAACTGTGAAACTGGCCAGAACAACAGGAGAAAACTGTCTGAAAACCGATGTGTTAAATTTGTCAGACTGGGGAGAAAAAAGTAAAATAATGTATTAAGGTCAAGATCTGAAGTTATGTTAATTTCCTGAAGAATGAATGTAATCTGTTTAACCCTGAAAGCACAGTTCTTATCTTTATTAACACCACTTTTTGTCTGGTTAGGGTATATCTATATGTTCTTACAAATACTGGACTCAAGCAGGCTCTGTATTTAGCACAGAACTTGCTCTCACTCAGGTCCTAAGGAGCAGCTTGTCATGGTCACCCTGGTTTGTGAGCAGCAGCTTGATGGTTCTTGCCTTGACAGAGTTGCTGCTGGCTCTTATTTTAGGCATTTATTTTGTAGGAGTGGGAATGCAAGCTATTGTGTGCTTTTGCAGAGCTCATGTAGAATGAAGGTTGACAAAGCCAATTTTACTGTGTTTAATCAGCTGATGGCTTTCTTCAGGCAGGGAACGCAGCTCATGGAGGAGTCTGAGGAGGAGGTGGAGACAGGACTGTGTGGCAGGGAGTCAGGGAGAGAGTAGGTGTTGGGGGAGAGGGAGGAGGTGAGAGCAAGTTTGTCTCTCTTTTGGCAGCAGTGAGCTGTCATGTCAGATTTGTCCTGCTTTCCATAGCTGGTTGCTATAGATTGCTGTGATTTTGAGCAATAGCAAATCCTTTATGGAAATCCAATATGTGCAGGACTCAAACAATTTTATGGGGAGAAATCTGTGAAGAAGTTAAAAGATTATTTTTTCAGTGTTTATACAGCACTTCTACTGCATCCTTTACTGGCTTATATGTCAAATAGTGTGTAAAATCCTCTTGCATGGTAGTTTATTCTCTAATGAAAATAATTGCAGTTCCTTGCTGTCAGTGAGGCAGAACAGCCCCAAGCCCTTGCACATGTGAGGGTGCAGAATTAGAGGCCAGCCTGCCATCAAAAATGACATGGCTTGTGGCAGCCTTCCTCGTGCTTGCTGACAGCATTTGTCCCAGATAAAAGCCTGTTAGGCCAACGGGACTTGCAGAGATTGCCAGTTAAATTAACTGGACCTGAACAAGGATTTGATCTGTTTGCGGGATCGATCTGTTGGGGACAAATGGTTTGGGAGCTCAAAGTACAGCTTTATTATGAGATTTTTAGGCATGTGTGTCAAGCTATTAGTGGTCCTGATGCCACATTATGTTGAGGTGGAATAGAATGACAGAGTCAACAAATACTGACAGATACATACTAAAAGGAGATGTGCTTGGGGATTAATGGGTCTTTAATTCAGTTTTTAACTCACTAAATCCTGAACCAGTAGATGCCATATCATTTTCATGTGAATTACAGGGTAGCCAGTCGTTCCACATTTTGCAAAGTGATGCTCTCTTTTAGTAACTATCCTGTACAATCTGCTTAGATCCTAGTTCAACTCATTCTATTAATATTTAATGTCTGTTTTCCCTCCCCACCTACCTCTTCCACAGTGTGTTCTAGTAGTGATTTTCCCCTTCCTCAGCTGATGGCCAAACCATCCCCAAAGATGTCCATCTCTAACAGTTTCGTTTTGCCATCAGTTCAAGCCTGACATGGGGCCTCTATGCACAAATGAAGTAGATTTTGGCTTCCCTTTTTCTGTGGTGAAACCATTTCTCTGCCCTTTGTTTTTAACTTGCCCCATTCTCTTTCCTTTTTCAGATTTCTCTGCTTAAAAAATAAGACCAGCGCATCAGTTGTTTTTACGACATACACACAGAAACATCCTTCGATAGAGAAGGGTCTACCCTTTGTGCAACCACTGCTGATCTTCATCTGGTTTCTGTTGTTGGCAGTTGATGGGTACAGTCTGATTTCTGTCATGTCCTTCTTGGTTTCCTTTTCAGTTGTTAACTGAGATTACATTTTTGGTTGTTTCCTTTCTAGAGGAAAACTAACAGTATTTACAGTATTGTGTGAACAGTATCAACCTTCGCTGAAAAGAGACCCCATGTATAATGAGGTGAGTTACTCACAAACAGGATTTAACTCTCTCAACGACTGAAATAATGGCTGATTGGCTCCAGCTTTGTAGATAAGAGCTGGTGATTTACCTTGCCTGGGTGACTTCTGCTTATATTATTTCTGCTTGTAAATGAAATAATTGCCTTTTTTTCACCTTGTGTCCCTCCAGTACCTAGATAGAATAGGACAGCTTTTCTTCGGAGTTCCGCCCAAGCAGACCTCGTCCTATGGAGGATTGCTAGGTAAGCTCTGCTTGTAGGTACCTCCAGGCATTGATCAGTGACCTGGATAAAACACCTGTGTTGGAAACAGATAATCTGTTCTAAGCAATTTATAATTCTTTTCATAGCCTGTAGGAACAGCCACTGCTGTAGAATACAAGATAAATGGGTTGCATGTGAAAGTGGTTTGGGGGGAGCTTGTAGACTTTTCATCACTGAGAAGGGGAGAAGCAGTAAAAAGACTCTGATGTTAATTTCTGACATTATGGTATAGTTTCCTAATGTAAAGAAGCATCTTACTGGTGTTAAAGCTTAATTTCCTCAGAGTTCAGTGACTAATTTTTCTTAAAGTATGGGGCTTTGGTAGAGATCTGATTGGTACTGATACAACATGAATGTCTCCAAAGAGGAAGTTCTGAAATTACTACCCTTCTACAAGGACTGAAATGGAATAGAGAAATTCAGCCCTCATTTCCTGGCTCTTGAATAAAATGTGCATAAAATCAGTGTTTTCCCTGAGAACTAAGCTTCTTTGTAAAGTGACTTGAAGCTTTACCTACAAACATCAATTCACTGATACCTGAAGCCTGATGAAAAGCATGAACACCATATTTTTACCATCTGTAATTTGCTTTTCAGCAATTCAGGCATCTTTAAATTGATGCCTCTGAGTTTCAGACAATTTTTTTACAGCACGGTGCAGACTGTGGCTGCTTTTTGAGAGTTTCACTGCTGGAGGTGTGTTTTTCCTCTTTTGCCTGGGTTTTTTTTCTGTCTGAGTGTGCAACTGTACCACATAAATATGTGACTTTGGGTTTTTCAAGTGTATTCTTAGAGAAGGAACAGTATCAGTGTACAGCTAAGAGTATGCAGCTTCCCAAATCAATATTCATAATGGAAAGCAGTGTGGGATTACTAATGTCCTGGTGAGACTTCCACTTCAAAACTCTTGGGGTTTTTTTGTTACAGAAATCTGTACGATAGCAGGATGGAAGATTAGTTAAAATTTTTTTAGATGAGAATGTAAAATTAATGATTTTGACTGTCCTGTATTTTATTCTAGGAAATCTTTTAAACAGTCTGATGGGAACTGGGGAAGATGATGACACAGAAGATGGTCAGGAAGACAGCAGTCCTATCGAGCTCGACTGAATGTTGTTGTCACTGGGTGCCGTGTAAATCTGATGATTCGATGACTCCAAAGACACTTTTGGAATTTGAATCCTGCAGTTGTTTCTTGGCTCCTAAAAGGGCTCCTCTGGTCTTTTAGAAATGGTTGCTGAAATGTTTATACTGTCGGTCTATATTATTTATGTAAAAAAAAAAAAGAAAGAAACCAACAAAAAGTAGCCAAACGAACCAATCGGAGCGGTTGTTAGTGGGTTTCTGATCCAGCAGCTGGGACTGATTAAACATAGTCTGCGGTTTCTGATGCAGTATTCCCTTTTGCACAGTCTTTCAATAAAGCATAAGCACGGGGCTTGTCCTTCACAGCCTACCCAATACCATCTGTGTTCTGACAAAGCCTCCTTGCCCTCTGCCCTCTTCCAAGGAAGATCTCGAAAGGCAGGGGGAGCAATTGAATAATTGATTTGTGAGGCTGGTGCCAAAAGTACTGCGAGACGAGCCAAGCAGCATAATTTGAGATGCACATCCGAGAGACATTGATACAAGAACTTGCTTCCACTGCCATGAGTAACATGCACACCCTTCATACTGCCTGCCCCTCTCCCCAAGGCCAGGCTCTGGCTGAGCCCACGCGTGTGTTTAGCCGATACTTCCTGAAAAGCACAAGGTTGAATAGCTCTTGAGTAAAAGCCCATCAGTGGAACGCAGGTAATTGGCTTCCAGGTGGATCTCTCTTGCCTAGGTATAAAAATTTGGCGTCTAAAATATGTCCTGTGGCTTGTGAATGTACTTTGGAAGAGATTTTGGCAGTGTAAGTTCCCAGCTGTACGTGCAGGCGGCAGCATTGCTGTGAGCAGAGCAGTTTGCCGTGGGCAGGGTATGTGTTTGAACTGGGCTGGATGGCAAGAAAAGGGATACTGCAGAGCTTCTGGTTCTTTATGATATATTTATTTTTCTTGGGTGATTGATTCATTTAACACTTTCTGTTAAAAAAAAAAAAGAGTAAATCAATAAATAATGGAGTAACTTCACCCCCAGCAGTAGGCATAGCCATTCTCCATCTCCTCTGTAATGCAGCACAGTGTGGTACAGGGAACAGGTGAAAGGGTGGGGAAACGCTTTATTTTTTCACGATGAAAATAAAAAGGCTTAGATTAATAAACAGCAATCATGCATGGGGGAGGGATTAATACAAATTTATTGACTGTATGAAAAAAAAAAGGCATTGACAGGAAGACTTTGTGTTAATTGTGAAGTCTCAAATAAACACTTTATACCAGGATGTGCGATACTGCTGCTTTCTAAGAGTTTCCCAAGCAGAGCTTTACAATCCTTGCTATTTTTTTCACTCTGCATTTCACTGTGGGTCATCCAGCCCTCGGTGCTGCACTTCCCCTCTGTGCAGTGAAGGTGTAATCCTCTTGGGCTGTTGGGATATCTGGAGCAGATGGGGCTTGCTTTGCTGTGCAGCAGGTTAAGGGAAGAGCTCCCTCTCCGGGCTGGTGCTATGGACACTGACTGGGATGTAGCAGAGATTTAGAGCCACAGCATTTCATTGCTTCTGGCTGCCAGGAATGTGCTGCTCAGGCAGCATGAGGTGTCCACAGGCATCCAGCACATGTCCCCTGCTGTGTCCCTGTGTGTGACCCCATGGGAGGTTTTTACCTCAGTTCTGTCTGCAGCCTCCAGCAGCCCCCACTGTGAGCTCTGCCTGTGCCCTGACCCCAGAACCCCAGGCCTGACAGGAGGGCAGTGCTCCAGGGCTGGGGCACCTACAGGTGGATATACAAAATGTATATTCAATAATTACAACGGCATATACAGAATGTGTGTGTGTGTGTGTGTATAAAATATATACCTAGGAATTTAAAATACATGTATACACACACACATATAAACAGCCTTTTGTATAGATAATTATATACTTCTAATACATATCATTTATAATACTATTCTTAATTATACATGCACACAAAACAATTTTTATAGCTACCTATAAACAGACAAGGAACCCAGTCTGTTCTCTCCCTGCTTCTGCTCTGCCTGGGTTGGTGAGTGTGAATGACAGTGTGTGGGTAACATACAATTATAAATACTTTAAATATAAGTTAAATATATAATTATAGTTATGCATACACATGTGCATGCAGATATATGTATATTTATATGCAATATATATACCTTAAATTTATAAATATAAATTACATGTAAAGCATGCACATGTGTATATAATATATAATCACATATTTTAGAAAACAAAGTATAAAAATGTCTATAAATAAACAGGTGTGTGAAATACATTTAGCTTATATTTGTAAATTTAATACCTGAGTGCTATATCTGTACATGAATGTGTGCATATGAACACCTCATACATACACATTTTATATATTACAGTCTATCCACTATGCAGTTTATAGCTGTCTGAACAGCCAACAGCCCCTTCCTAAAGCTTATTTCTCCATTCCCAAGAACCAGCTATCCTTTGTGTATGTGTGTGCACACATGAAGAAGTTTTATAGAGAAAACACACAGAATATGCTCTACAACACACACATACACACAAATAATAGATTAAATAATACACATTGTGTGCCAGGCTGGGGCAGATGGTTTTGAGGGTGTCCCACACCCCTGGGGCCCTGCCAGCACTGGCCCCTCTTTGTTTCCATTTGCTGCTTTTTAACCCCACCTCCCTCCCTGCCCCAGCACCACACGGCCACGGCTCTGACATAATAATAATAATTTATTGGTTCAAATGACATTTAGTACCACAGTTGTCTTACCAGTGACAGAACGAATGCACACAGCCGATGAGATGCTCTCAGATACACAACCACCCTAAGAAACGCGTCGGACAGGTCCGTGGCTGGGGCTGGGCCTTCAGGGCAAGCCAGAAATCTCATTTTTGGGTAAAAATCCAGCACCTGGTGTGCAGCTCCCAGCCCGCCCGCCCTAACTGCAGGAATTACAGTGCTCAACACCGCGCTGAAACGTCACTTCAAGCAGCTTTTTTTTTTTTCTTTTTTTTTTTTTTTTTTTTTTTTTGGGCAGGAGAAGAAAAATCAACCAAAAAAAAATTGGATTATTGGGGGAAAAAGTGCAACCACCAAGTCTGAAGAAGGGATGTGCCTGCTGGGAGTGAGCTGAGACAGGCTTTAGTGGTGCCCATCAGCAAATCTGCAGATAAAGCTCAACCCCCCAGCTCCATACCGGGCTCCCCAAATGGGGCAAAGCCCCCCAGACCATGGAACAGGGATGACCCAGGGAGCCAAACACAGGCCTGGCCCCAAAGCTCTGCTCCCCCAGCATCACAGGTTGGCATCTCCCTTGCAGCCCCCTCCTCCCTGCCCTTCGTTAACTTAACGAGGCTGATGATGCCCATTTCCTCTACTTCTAAATCCTATTTGACCCTCTCTGGGTACAGCATCACCTCCAGTCCCCGGGGGGATAATTCACTTATCATTACCCCGGCACCACGGCAGGCTCAGCTGCTTTGCACAGCACCTTCCGTGTTTCCAGGCTGCTTCCCATCCCACAGGGATGTCACCCCTTGGGGACTTGCAGCCCCCCTGGAAAGGGCTGGCAGCCATCTGGAAGTGTGGGGATGCTCAGCTCCAGCACCCAGGGACCTGAGCATGGGGAAGAGTCCCACCTGCCCCTGGGATGTGCCACCAACAGTCTCTGCCATCCTGGTGAAGCTGGGTGCCCCTTCCAGCGGGTGTGGGGTGGTGGGTGGCAGCACCACCTGTCCCACCCCACAGAGCAGCCACAGAGCTGAATTTCAAGTTGGATCAGGATCTTCTCCGACGTTCCACTGCCGCCCTTCCGACATGATCACGTGAATGATGAGGGGAAAGGGAAGTATTATTATTGTTATTATTATTACTGTTATTATGAATTATTTTTAACATTTCAAATAAAACCACGTCGTGTTGTAAACAGAAGCTCGCTCCTCAGGTCTGCCCAGCAAGTCCCAGCTAAGGTTTATGTTTGAAATGGGCTTCCACTGAAAGGCAAAAATAGAGAAAATAAAGTTAGAGCACGACAAGCACTGGCAGGTGGTGACAGCCTGGCACAAGCCCACCCTGACAGTGGTCCTTGTGATGCTCCTTGGCTTCAGTTACCCCTACAACCATACAGCAGCATGGACATCACAGCAGAGGCAATGAAGAGGGAAGGATACCACCCTCCTCCTCCTCCTCCCAGGGCGAGCCCCTCTGCTCAAACAGCCTTTGCATGCCCCTGGGCAGTGAAGAGCTGCTGCAGAACAAGGCAGGAGCGATGTCCTGACCCCCAGGCCCCTCCAGCCAGCCCATCCTCCAGCCCAGGGCACACAGCAGGCCAGGGCTGACATCCAGGGAACGCACCTGCGTATTCCTGAGGCAGCATTGGCCGGCTTATGACCTTCTGAAAGGTGGTGATCCACTCCAGCTGGTCGTCCTCTGTCTCGCAGGCGAAGAGGAATTTCCGATCCGGGGTGACGATGGTGATCCCGTGCTGCCAGTGGTTCCCCTGCGTGGATGGTGGCAGCCCTTCCAGCACCTTGTAGCTGTTCTCCTTGCTCCCAATAAAAACCTCCCCTCTGGCAAAGGCATCCTAGGAGACAGCAGGGGTGAGGGTGAAGGGAGCTCAGCCTCCCGGGCAGCCAGGACAGCTTGTCCTTGTGAAAAATGTGCATTTTATGATTGGCTTTTGGCAAATATTAGGATGAATATTATACATGTTATGTTAGAAAGTTATGCTGCATTGATTTTCTCAAGTAGTGTGTTAAATATAGTTTCAGGTTGTAACATCATGTTAAAACAGGAGCTGTGTATGTGGGATTTTTTTTTTTTTTAATTTAAGAAAGGAATGAGCTACTTGCACCAGATAGCAACCACAGGACACCTAAATCTTGTATGCATTGTATGAATATGCAACAGGCTACTGTTTTTAAGGGTTAATCCTCTGTTAACATGTGTCCTTTTTTGGGCTTATTTTGCCCAGAAAAAGGTACCTGGATGTCCATAACTCTTTGTTTTTTATTGTCTCATATTGTCCTAATCCAAATTGTCCACATTATTATTACTCTAATTATATTGCTATTTTTATAACCATTTTATTATTATTAAACTTTTAAATTTTTTTAAAAACAAGTGATAGGTGTTTTTCACATCCTGTAGCAGCCACAAGGCCATCAGCCAAACTCCAACAGCACCACCCACAGCCCTGCTCCTCAGCCAGGGGTACTCACAGTACAGCACCAACACCAGGGAGCCACAATCCACATGCAGAATATCTGGTGGACAGGGCTTTCAAAGTGGTTTTGGTATTTATAGGGTTACTGCCCACTGGACACCAGGCAGAGCCACCAAACAGTGACAGCACTGTGCCCTCTTGTCTCTCCCACCAGCCTGCATTTTGCTGCAGATGATTACTGTAATTATTACTGCTATTACTCCTATTATTAGTAGCATTGCAGGTAATTCCCCCAGGCAGCCCAGACACCTTCATCTTACCAGGGGATCTTTGAAATACATGAGCCTTCGGTCATCCATGGTGAACCATCGCTTCTTGAATCCCTCTGTTTGCTGAGGAGTCAAAAAATGCCAGATGACACACCCAAACAGCACAGCTGCTCTCTAAGCACGCATGCCCCAGGAGTGTCAAAGCACATGGGGCAGCCTGATGGGCTGGGGCAGTTGGGAGCAGATGGCTTCTGGGCCACCAGAGCCACCACAGCCAGGGTCTGGGCCAGCTGGACCAGGAAGGGCCATTGGATTTGTGATGTAGATTTGGATTTTTTTTCTAATGTTGTCTCTCAGGTGAGGAAAGTGCATTAAATACATTCACAGAGTTATGACTTTGCCTCTTGGCAAGGGTTGGTTTGTCCCAACATCAACCCCTTCTCGGGGCCATACAGAGCAAGACTCATGTTTGGAGGGACTGAAAAATGCTTCAGATCCTACCTTTGGCCCTGTTTTCTCCATGTATCCTTCCTTCAGGTAGTTTCTAGAAAGCTTTGGCACCAGCTGGAGCAACAAAAGAGGACAGAAAAGTGTCAGATGGAGGGGTCTGGGGGTCACTGGAAGGAAAACCCACACTGAGCTGGCCCCAGCCCTGAGCCCACCCCACAGCTCTGCCCGAGAGCTCCAGTCCTGCTCCTCCACAGCCTCAGAAGAGGAGGCTACGACATGAAACACCTTGGAGCAGCTCCCCAGCACAGCCAGCAGCCTCCAGGAGCATCTCCCACACTCCTCAGGGCGCAGGGACAGAGTCACCCTGCAGAGCCACGACTGG